TTATGGAAAATCTGAGAAACCAGGCCTGCTATTCATAGCAGACTTCGAAAAGGCATTTGATAAAGTACGACTGGGGTTTATATATAAATGCCTGGAGCATTTCAATTTTGGTGAATCTCCTATAAAATGGGTCAAAATCATGTATAGTAACCCTAGGTGTAAAATAGTAAATAATAGCTATTTCTCAGAAAGTTTTAAACTGTCAAGAGGAGTGAAACAAGGTTGTCCACTATCGGCATATCTATTTATTGTGGCCATCGAGATGTTAGCTATTAAAATCAGATCCAACAATAATATCAGGGGATTAGAAATCCAGGGCTTAAAAACAAAGGTGTCATTGTACGCTGATGATTCATGTTTTCTTTTAAATCCACAACTAGAATCACTCCACAGTCTCAAAGAGGATCTAGATACATTTTCTAACCTCTCTGGATTACAACCAAATTATGACAAATGTACTATATTACGTATTGGATCAATAAAAAATACAATTTTTACATTGCCATGTAGTTTACCAATAAAATGGTCTGATGGTGATGTGGATATACTCGGAATACATATCCCACAGGAAATAAATGATCTCACTTCAATAAATTATAATAGAAAGTTAGCAAAAATAGATAAGATCTTGCTACCATGGAAAGGTGGGTGCCTGTCAATTTGTGGAAAAATCACCCTGATTAACTCTTTAGTATTATCCCAGTTTACCTATTTGCTTATGGTCTTGCCTACGCCTAGCAAACAGTTTTTGAAATTATATGAGAAAAAAAGATTCCATTTTATTTGGAACGGCAAGCCAGACAAAATTAAACGGGCCTATTTATATAATGAATATGAATTCGGAGGACAGAAATTATTAAATATTAAAGCATTAGACCTATCACTAAAAGCTTCAGTCATACAAAAGTTATACTTAAATCCGAACTGGTTCTCTAGCAAATTAGTAAGATTGTCTCACCCAATGTTCAAGAATGGCCTTTTTCCCTTTATTCAGATTACAACCACTCACTTTCAGTTATTTGAAAAGGAAATCATCTCCCATATATCACAATTTCTAAAACAAGCCATAGAAAGTTGGTTGCAAATTCAATTTAATCCTCCAGAAACGACAGAACAAATAATGCAACAAATATTCTGGTTAAACTCAAATATACTAATTGACAAAAAAACTTTTTTTTTGACAAAATGTTTTAAAAAAAGGTATAATCTTTGTAAATTATATATTCGGTAGGACTGGTGGAGTTATGTCGCACATACAGCTAACAAAATCATATGGAAATGTCTGCTCTACCTAAAATTACAACCAAATAATTGCAGCCTTACTGCAAAAATGGAAGAGGAAAGTGGAAGGAGGAGAAAGTAAGGAACTTGTCTGTCGGCCTTGCATTAAAGAACATAATTGGTTAAGGAAAACTGTGATAAATAAAAAGGTATATCAGTTTCATTTAAGGACCAAAGGATCGACAGCCGTCCCATATAGATTGCAAAATAGTTGGGAAGAGATTTTTGACGTACCGATCCCATGGCATAGTGTTTATGAACTGATACGCAAAACGACACCGGATTCAAAACTTAGAATCTTTCAATTTAAATTATTATATACAATTCTTGCTACCAATAGAATGTTATTTATATGGGGGATACAATCTTCCCCAGCTCTGCAGATTTTGCTGCAAAGAGACAGAATCATTAGATCATTTGTTTTGGTACTGTCCATTTGTAGCTTGTTTTTGGACACAGGTCCAGGAATGGCTAAAGGATTGCAATATTTACCTGGAGCTAACCCTGCAGATAGCACTACTGGGTGATCTGAAAAGTCATAGTCAATCGATCAATAACATAATAATACTATTCGCAAAAATGTTTATTTTCAATTCACAATCTGTAGAAACAATGAGAATAGAAAGGTTCAGAACTTTTGTAAGACATCACAGTACAGTTGAAATATATATGGCAAATAGAAATCCTATATGGATGGTGTTAAAAGATAGATGGGAGGTGTTGAAGGGAATTGAAAGATGGGACTAATAACAACAAACAATAACAAGATAACTAATAATGTAGGCACGCTGTGTCCATAATAAGTGTATGGGTTGTAGGTTGGGAGTTTTTGTGAAGGAGCACAGTTAGAAAGATATGGCATATAGAAGCAAAAAGGATGGACATCATGAAAATGATCGGAGAGGTTGAGAGTAGAAGAAGTTCAGGAGAAAGAACAAACAAAATGTAATTACTGTGTTCATAAAATGTAGATAGTGGGTATGGGCTGGAAGTAGAGGCCTAGGCGTTGTTGTTCACTAGTTTACTCCAAGTGGGGAAAGGGTGGCGGGGTTGGAAAGTAATAAAGGGGAATATATATATATTTTTTTAAGGATATGTATGTGTATGTAAGGTCGTTCTTTCTCTAAGGGGTTAAGGGTAGAATGGGAGAAGATCAGGTCAACACAGGTGTGTAGCATAACAACTGTCGTCATGGTGCCTGTCACCGTGCTTGCTTACCTACTGCAACCTGACACCTGAGAGAGAGAGAGAGAGCGAAAGAGCGAGAGAGAAGGATAGAGGGAGAGAGACAGGGAAAGAGGGACAGAGGGAGGGAGAGAGAGGAGGAGAGAGAGGGGTTGTGGTTGACCAGCTACAGCAGAAACAGGATTTTCTGGTGCTAACAGCAGTCAGTAACTGCCTGAAGAGAAGAGGACAGGTGAGTAAATTAGTGGAGAAAATTAGTGAGTGACTGAGTGAGTGAACAAATAGGGAGGTGAATGAGTGGAGGAGAGCGAGAAAGAAACCAGAGGCATACAGGAGTGTGTGTGTGTGTTATCCTATCTGACTGACATCATGGACAATGCCTGGCTTGAATGCAGAGAGGACAGGCCAGGGCTGGGTTATGGTTGGGGGTTGTGTCTTTCAGACACAGTGATGATGGTTGTACAAGCACATTTCTGTGAACAACAGACAAAGCATATCCAATCTAATGTAACCTAATGATGTAGGACGAAGATGCAAATTTGTCAGATGTAGGTTTGTCAAACTTGTTTGTTGTTTAACACAACTAATCCCGTATGTGGGGGGATGTGAAGATGTGGAAGAAATCCTAATGAGATTAAACAGACGTGAAATACACAGTCAATCATTACCTAGCACCTTTTGTGATTCCCCCACCCTTCTCTCTGTAGTAATGTAACCCTGTGTGTCTGTCTGTTAGTTCTGTGCTTATCTCTCATATGAACTATTCCAAACACATTCCTGGCATACCAAACCAGAGGAAAAGCACTATATCTTCAAATTAGGAGTTTCCTTTCACAGACACACGACACAGACACACCCTAATGCAGATGTCCATTGTGTGACCTGAGCATTAGGACCTCTGAGCAGACACAGCTGCTCATTTTTGCCTCCCCTACCTCCCTCCCACACATACAGTACACTCATGCAACACACACTCATGACTCACTCCGGAAGCTTCTTTCCTGTTGCTGGTTTGGCTTCTTTAGAAGGGGAGATAAGAAAGCAGCGCGTGAGAGAGAGAGAACACAAGACAGAACAGAATAAAGAACGTGATAAGAGTAAGGAATATAAATAGTTGTAAGAGGCCTTGGCTCAGCTTGGCAGACATTGTTTTTGCCCTGGGTCTTCCTAACAGACTGTTGTTAGACCAGCGGAGTTTAGAGAGCCCTGATCATGTGATTCTGTTCATTGTCTGCACTTTGCTCAAGGTGTGCGTTTGATCAGAAAGAGTGTGCTACATGTAGCGTTATCATGACCAGAAGAACCTTCTCTATGTTATTTATGTATTTTTCTATTTCCCCCCCCCACCGTCTCTCTGTTCCCTTTTCACAGGTTGAGACCACAGGACCGTTGGCCTACACTTCCTCATCGAGAGTAAAAACCGTGAACAAGAGAAAACAAGTAACTGTCTCCTGCATCGTATCGGTCTACATATGCTCCTGTTCAGTATTTCATCTACGGACCGTCTACTGAGGAGGCCTGCAGGATTTTATCTCAGCAATTTTACCAACTAGCCAAGCCAAGCCAACACTCTTCTGAGAGGTCTAGCCACTGCGCCTGGAGTGAGCAACTAGTTAGCTAGCCAGCTATTTAATTTAGCCAGTTTAGTCACTGTGCTGTCATTCAGCCATGCGGTTAAAAGTCAGTCATCCTCAGAAGGACCTGTGAAAGACCACGGACACAGAAAAGGACAGAGGGGGGGGGGGAAGGTTTGGATACAACTCACTCTGCTCTGGAACTTACGAAACACAGGACCTGTGATTTGACACCTATAACTTATATCCGGTGCTCTGGAACCTAAAACTTAGAACGTGTGGTGTGAAACTGTTGGACATCTAACGTGGAATGCTAGGATGATGACATCGTAGAGCTGCTATCGGAGTCTTCTGGGATGTCTGCCATGCTGCAACAGACGGAACTCATCTTTGAGTTTGCCAGCGACCGCGTGAACAATGGACTACAGGTGGGAACGACCGTGTGTGTGTGTGCGTGCGTGCATGAGTGTGTGTGCACGCCAACAGATAAAGCATCAAAGACTCCTCTGGAATCACACGTCAATGTAGAACCACTTGGGAAATCAAATATCAAAGTGCAGACGAGCTGTATTGAATGCAGAGATAGAGTCAAGACATACAGTAGCCAAGGATGACATGATGATGACGTCAGCCATAGTTATTGAAGCATCCGCACTAATGTACATTAGGAATATACTGACCTATTTTAAAAAAGGAATAGCAAAAGTAGTCTTACACTTCTCTATCACCATAACATTTAGTCTCGTTTCACTGTATGTCTGTGTACTACAACCTCTGCCTAGAGGTTGGAACCTTACGGCACAGATGTTAGTACACTTTCCATTTAACTGCAGAGTTGCTGGTTCAAGCCCTACCCAATACTCCTGAATTGATTTACAATATCAAACACTTTGAAGATATTGGAATGGATTAGAACGGAATTGAAGTGAATGACAGATCATTTGTCCCTCTGTGTTGCAGCTGGATGAGCACTTGGCCTCTCCTGCAGTGATAGTGGAGCAGATCCCACACTCCCACCTGCTCTCCTACTCAGGCCTGGCCTGTGAGCAGACACACACAGACAACCACCTACTAACAACAGGTAACAACACATGCACACACTTACCCTGTTCTCATGAAGGCAAGGGAAGGGCTGGGGTCGAGCTGCTGGGCTTTCTTGGCATCATCAACAGCACCTGCAGTGACAGAAACAGGCACAGAGGACTTAGACATAGTTTTGTAGTACTTTAGGAGGTCTATGTTCAGGTAAGATGTTGGTGGTTAGTTTTAGGGTAATGGGTCTGGCGTACAGATATCGTTTTTTTAGGAGGTGGGTTTAGGCTCCACGGCTTCATTCAGCTCCTGAGAGAAACTGTCAGTGTAAAACAGCAGGGTATGCACATAAGTACTGGTGCTGGGCAAAAAAAAAAATAGCTGATGAAGACTTTGTACAGTCAGTACATTCAGTGTGATGTATGGGAAGGTGGTAGATCTATGGTAGATAGTTTAGCTAGCACACTACAAACAGATAGCTATGAAGCTAGCTGCTGTGTTTATAGCACATGTATCACTACTGGAATTAACAACAGAGCAGTTTCAAACCAAAATAGCTTAGTACAGTGGCTAACTTAACTTGTTTCTAACAAAGCATAAATAAAAAATACCCTAGCTAGCTATCTCTACTCATTTTGGTGAGGGGATTGTAAACTGGCTGTGCACATGCGTACTATGGCCTTCGCATTTGGGCCAATCAGAGAAGTTCTGAAATCCAGGAAGTGAAACAAAACACGTCTTCTTGTGGCCGCTGCAGCTTTGGTAAAGTTTCTGTAGCTCTCTGGAGTAAAACAGTTCGTGGAAGTAATTATTTAGTAGCGAGGATCTTAGTCTATGCAAGTAAGTTTGTGGCAAATTGGTTTTGTAACATGTCCACTACTGTAACTTTCTAGCTAGTTAGCTAACCTAGCGTTGAACAACCTAATTTAGCAACTAACAAGGTTAGCTTCTTTTTTATTTTATACTTTTAGATAGCTCACTGTCAATCGTTTACCGTGGCCTGTTTCGACATTCTGACCATCTCTGTTTAAGCTCGATTTGCAAGCTCGTGAATATACAGTTAGACTTTTGTGGTAGAAAGAAAGATAGGCTTACTAACAGTGTAGTACAGGGTTTCCCAAACTCTGTGCACGTTTTTGCCATAACACTACACAGCTGATTCATATAATCAACTAATCATCAAGCTTTGATCATTTTGGCCCACAGACAGAGCCATGATGTCATGCTGACGCATCACCCCGTTTCTCTCGATATTGATCACCCATCCCCTTGTCTCTCCATCTCTTCCCTTTATCCTCACCTATCCTTCTCCCCCCCCCCCCTCTCTCTCTCCAGTGGAGGGCAGTGAGAGTGGAGATGAGGAAACCATGGAAACACTGGTGGCAGCTGAGACTCTCCTCAACATGGATTCCCCTGACTCCCTCTCTCTGGACCAACAGCACTACAGTGAGACACACACACACACACACAGCTAGTCTTAGCTAGTAGCTCAGTGATTAACTTGTCTTGACTCTGTCTTTGCATAAAGTTCTCAAATCTCACTGAACGTTGAGCTTGTTGTCTACCATCACCATGTTTCTTGTCTAGGGCAAACAAACATCCATATTTCTGCCCTGACTTGGAGCAGATGTATACATCCTGTAATCTAATTGACCTAATCTAATGGTCTCCTTGTAGACCCATTCATTACACTGTAAGCCCTAACAGCGTTTGTTTGTCTCCTCCCCTCTAGCTCAGCTGGGTGATGTCATCACTTTGCCCGTTACCCACCAGTTGACGGTGTCAGTAGAGGGCATTGTGGGAGCTCTGGGCCAGCCCCAGTGGGTCACGCTGCAGAGGGAGACTGTTGCCGAGCAACCGAAGAAGAGAGGTCAGACCGTAATTTTACTGATGTCATTATCTGGCCATGTTTTCAAACTATAAATTGTAGTCATAACCACAACCTTAGCTCATATGCCTGCTCATCAGTTCAGACAATATTACTTATTTTGTGCTTTCTCACATTGCAATTTCTGGACTACTGTAATTTACAATGTCAAGCATGTCATTGTAACAGTAAAATAACAATGACTCTGTTTTGTGTTTCAGTTAAGAAATCCAAAAGGCCTGAATCCCCCACGCCGGACATCATATTCAAGAGGGGAAAATACAGCAAAGGTACACACACACACAGCATACACACACAACAGAACACTCAATCTCACCTCTCCTTCGCCTGTGTTTCAGGTAACACAATGTATCTGTGGCAGTTCCTGATTGAGCTTCTTCAAGACCGACAGGCCTGCCCCCGCTACATCAAATGGACCAATCGGCATGCAGGGATCTTTAAGCTGGTCAACTCTAAGGCCGTAGCCCGACTCTGGGGCAAACACAAAAACAAACCAGACATGAACTATGAGACCATGGGCCGAGCACTCAGGTACGCTGTAGTTACCTTACATAACAATAATAATAACATATCTGTGGCCCTGCAGGTGTGTTTGTGTATCAAAGCTGACCTCTCTCTGACCCTGACAGGTACTACTACCAGCGTGGGATCCTGAACAAGGTGGAGGGCCAGAGGCTGGTGTACCAGTTTGCTTCCCTGCCCAAGGACATAGTCTTCATCAGTGATGATGAAGACCAGGAGGACCAAGCCAATCATGAGGACAATGATGAGGAAGGCGTCCCAGATGACCCAGAGGAAAGCCCGCCCTCCAGCGACCAATCCCTGGACGATTTAGGGTCCTACGAGCATTCTTTCCCTCCCCCTCCCCCCATCCTCTAGACCAGGCTACCAGAGGTCCAGACAGACCAGCAGTAGTCCAGCAACAGCCCAGCGGCGCCAACCCAGCCCAAAATCCAAGTCCCGATCCCCAGCCCCTTCCCCAGCCCAGTGCAAAACAGTCCTTCGACCACCAGGAGGCAGTCTGATCCAGCAGCAGCACCTGCCTATAGTCTCAGCTGAGATGCTGCGGACCCTGCAGAACGTGCAGTCTCTGCAGCCTGGTCAGCACGGGTCGGTCTTCAGAACCGCTCAGCTGTTGGGGAGTCTGTGTGAGAGACAGGCTGCTAGTGGAGGACAGACCACCAGTCAGTAACTTTGCAGTTACAGCCCCTGACCTACCCTGTCAAGCAGGGGAAGCTAGAGGTTAAGACGGAGGAGGACCCAGACTCAGGACTGACCGCGGACTAGAATGCCCCAAGACATCTGGTCGCTGTCATCTCCTCATAGTCAAGACAACTATAGAGGACAGTGATTGAAAAGGGAGACCTCAGAGAACGATGATGGACAGTTGTGATGTAAATGTGATATATTTTACAGATGTGACAGATCTGGATGGTCTTTGTCTCTCACTCTTACATTCCCTTATGCACCAGAGCCATTTTTACAGAGAGTTAACCAAACTGTCCTCCGTGTTGGCACCAAACACTCAATGTCGATAACATTCTAATAGGCATTCTAAGTAGAATGTCATTGTCTTACAACTCTTGGTACCAACGTGGTGGCCATTCGAATTCTCTACCAAAGACATGCACTGGAATCCACAGCCACTCTGCAGAACATCCTGCACTGCTCTCTCTGTTTGCACTTCAGCTCCACTGTATGCATGGGAGCTTGCACACTGTTCTCTTTCTATGTTTTTTCCTCTGCCATGATCAAAGCTTTGTACTATTGTTAACTTTTCATGTACCATTTCTTTGTCCCCACTCTTACTCTCACCTACCAAAGTGCCTCAAATATTCAAACAATTCTGTTCCAGCTTTCAACAAAGACAGTCTTAATCTGTAGCACGCTAGCTACTGCATATTGCTCCTAAACATTGTTTTATGTGTGTGTCACTTGTTGATCTTCAACGCAAACACACACTCTCACACTGTCACCCACAACAGTAGAAGACACACCATAAGTGCTTGAGGTAAACATGTCGTAGCTGATATGTTCAGGAAATACATTCCATAGAGATTATTATGACTTTACAATAACGGTTACAGGCTTTCGGTTAAGTTCATGATTAAGAAAATAATGCAAATCTAAATCAAAAAGGATTTTCTGTTTAAATTTTACAGCAGTACTGTTGGCTTTACTGCTTAATCTTAATGTTGACAGGGTGGCTGATGATAACTTCTCTCAGGCTTTTTGGAGAGCGTGAAAGTACTTCTGCCGGAGTCAGTCATTTTCTATTGACACTGATCTAAAGTCAGTTTTGTGGTGTTCCCTGGTAATGATTTGGGGATGGTAAACTGATCCTAAATGTGCCCCTATGCCCTTCTACCCAGTGCCCTTCTGCCAGATGGTCCTGTTAGCATTCCTGATAAGCTGTAGTAGCTATGACTGTGCTTTCATGGACCATATATGCCTTGATTTTTTTTATGTGTGTGTATATGTATATATTTATGCTTTTCTGTCAGTTGTCGCTCAGGTTCGAATGCCTTTTTATTTCTGCACACACACACACAGTGTATATATATATATGGTCCCAGTTCCAAAATGTTCTAACTCATCTATGCAAAGAAGTAAGATGATGTTGCCCATTTGGCCTAGACTCTGATCTATGGTTAGTTTTGCTGATCCTATGAGGATCCTCTACCTAATGCCTTGCAAAGCCATAAGACCTAGGCTCCTAATAAAAAGCATGTTTTTCACATGCAATCTTTTCCTTTCATAATATTGCCTTATGCTTCTTTGCTTTAGCTGGAAGGCTCTGATATATTTGTTATTGTTATATTGTGTGAGGAACTTAGTTATAATGTAATTGTGGAGATACTGTACCATGCTTTTATACTATTATTCAATTTATTGATGTTCATGCTGACGTTTTCATGAAATGTATTATACAGGAGTAGTTGATGAAAGAGGAATTATTGTTTTCATGAAATAAAAGTTTTCATTTTGAATGAATCCTGACAGTTTTTTGGCAAACCTTGAGAAAATGTTCCTCACCCGCACAAGATTCCCTGTGTCTGTGACGCCTGCCGTTTGGTGCGATGCGAGCGTGGTGAAACTGAGAAGACATTCTGTCCTTTTGAGTTTTGAAGCAGAGTCTTTACCTGATAGTCATGTTATCCAGTGAGAGCGTTTGTGCCGAACCCACTAAGGCGTTTCAGATGCCAAGCTTATGGTCATGTTGCAACAGTGTGTAGGAGGGCGATTCCGAGAAGTGTGCAGGATGGCATGGGACAAAGAAATGTGTGTGTCAATTGTGGGGGTGCCCATGTTGCTGGGGATCAGAAGTGCCCAGTGCGAGAGAGACAGGTTGAGGTTGCCAGGGTCAGAGTAGAATGGGGCGGCAGGTCGCTGGTTCTAATCCCCGAGCCGACTAGGTGAAAAATATGTCTGTGCCCTTAAGCAAGGCACTTAACCCTAATTGCTCCTGTAAATCGCTCTGGATAAGAGCGTCTGCTAAATGACTAAAATGTAATGTAGAACAGAAGGTGTCGTATGCTGAGGCAGTGAAGAGAGTAGAGGATGATGGGTCAAGTGTGAGTAGTAGGCCTATGCCAATACAGAGTATTACGTATTTGTGCTTCAGTGAGGTTGACTTCTTAGCATTCATTGCCATGGTTATAAACCACTGCAGAAATAGAACGTCAATTTACAATGCCTTTGGAAAGTATTCAGACCCCAAGACTTTTTCCACATTTTGTTACATTACAGCCTTATTCTAAAATGGATTAAATAAATACAGATCCTCAGCAATCTGCACACAATACCGCATAATGACAAAGCGAAAACAGATTTTTTTTCTAATTTATTTACATAGGTATTCAGACCCTTTGCTATGAGACTCAAAATTGAGCTCAGGTGCATCCTGTTTCCATTGATCATCCTTGAGGTGTTTCTACAACTTGATTGTAAATTCAATTGATTGGACATGATTTGGAAAGGCACACACCAGTCTATATAAGGTCCCACAGTTGACAGTGCATGTCAGAGCAAAAACCAAGCAATGAGGTCGAAGGAATTGTCTGTAGAGCGCTGAGACAGGATTGTGTAGAGGCACAGATCTTGGGAAGGGTACCAACAAACTTCTGCAGCATTAAAGGTCCCCAAGAACACAGTGGCATCCATCATTCTTAAATGGAAGAAGTTTGGAGCCACCAAGACTCCTGCTAGAGCTGGCCGCCTGGCCAATCTGAGCAATCGGGGGAGAAGGGCCTTGGTCAGGGAGGTGACCAAGAACACGATGGTCACTCTGACAGAGCTCTAGAGTTCCTCTGTGGAGATGGGAGAACCTTCCAGAAGCACAACCATCTCTGCAGCACTCCACCAATCAGGCCTTTATGGTAGAGTGGCTAGACGGAAGCCACTCCTCAGTAAAAGGCACAAGACAGCCAGCTTAGAGTTTGCCAAAAGGCACCTAAAGACTCTCAGACCATGAGAAACACGATTCTCTGGTCTGATGAAACCAAGATTCAACTCTTTGGCCTGAATACCAAGCGTCACGTCTGGGGGAAAAACCTGACACCATCCCTACGGTGAAGCGTGATGGTGGCAGCATCATGCTGTGGGGGTGGTTTTCAGCAGCAGGGACTGGAAGACTTGTCAGGATCAAGGCAAAGATGAACGGAGCAAAGTACAGAGCGATCCTTGATGAAAACCTGCTCCAGAGCGCTCAGGACCTCAGACTGGGGCCAACGTTCACCTTCCAACAGGACAACGACCTTAAGCACACAGCCAAGACAACACAGGAGTGGCTTCGGGACAAGTCTCTGAATGTCCTTGAGTGGCCCAGCCAGAGCCCGGACTTGAACCTGATCTAATATCTCTGGAGAGACCTGAAAATTGCTGTGCAGCGACGCTCCCCATCCAACCTGACAGAGCGCAAGAGGATCTGCAGAGAAGAAACTCCCCAAATACAGGTGTGTGTCACACCCAAGAGAACTTGAGGCTGTATTTGCTGCCAAAGGTGCTTCAACAAAGTACTGAGTAAAGGGTCTAAATATGTAAATGTAATATTTCAGTGTTTTATTTTTTATAAATTTACAAAAATGTATAAAAACCTGTTTTTGTTCTGTCATTATGGGGTATTGTGTGTAGATTGATGGGGGGGGGGGGAAAGTATTTCATCAATTTTAGAATAAGGCTGTAACAAAATGTGGAAAAAGTTAATGGGTCTGAATACTTTCCGAAGGGACTGTATATTTTAGTCATTTAGCAGACACTCTCATCCCGAGCGACTTAGTTAGTGCATTAATCTTAAGATAGCTAGGTGGGACAACCACATCACATGCATAGTAAGTACACTTTTCCTCAATAAAGTAGCTATCAGCAAAGTCAGAGAGGGGTCGAGGAGAGGGATTATTTAAGATACTCTTTGAAGAGGTAGGGTTTCAAGTGCTTTTGGAAGATGGGCAGGGACTCTGCTGTCCTAGCTTCAGGGGGAAGCTTGTTCCACCATTGGGGTCCCGGGACAGAAAATAGATGTGGTGGCAGCTGCAGAGAAGCATTTGGGTGTACCAGGTTTTACTGCAGAGTTACAAGGTGTGTTGAAGTGGGGTCCTTACCAGCCATCAACCTGGTGTAGGATCAGTTAGGGTAAAGTAGTGGAATGGGGTGGTGATTTGTATTTTTATGAAATAGTGGTGTATCTAGGTGTAGTTGGTGGTGCATTTTTGTTCCTTTTCCCCTTTCCTTTTTTATGTTATCACAAAATGTAATTTGATTTACCGTACAATAGGTGGCGGCATGCACAAACAAAATGTGCGAATGCCATGATACCAAAGAAGAAGATGCGCCTACCCAGCTGACCGTTGACAGGCCCGTACAGCGCACGCCTCCGCACTGTGCTCCAATCCACTCACTGAACGACGGAACAATGAGACAGATATTTCACTGCATGTTTAAATGTGAAGCATCCGCTTAGCGTTTCCACTCACTACCAAATATGGTAGTGACAGGAAGCCCACTGGCGGGCAGTGGGAGAAGATGGAACGAGATGGATTTTGGCCGATATTCTGCAAATATTCTCATGGATTAAACATTTGATCTCAATACAGGTATCTGTTCCCAAAACTAGAATATGTTATGAAGAGAGTGGACTAAGGTTTGCAAAACTTTACTCTTTGCAAAAGTTTTAAAAAATTGCGTTGTTTAGAAGGCGTGCAATGGGGAATTTAGTTATTGCGCACGTCAGAGTAGGCGTTGCCTAACGGAAATATGCAGATGATGCTAGAAAGTGCCAATAGGATCGCTAGCTCGTGCTTGGCTCTGCCCACCTCCTTGCTTGTTCTGCCCACTATGGCTCATTTGTTCCAATTGGAAACGACAGACTGTGGTCTATCTTGGCTTAGTTATAAACATCTTTGACTGAACTATAGCACAGGAGTTTAGGCTCCATTCTCCAGCATACTTTCGTTTTCTGATTCCCATCTAGAACTTTCCAGCTAGCTAGCTAGCCTCTGCTTGTTCTCTCACTGACAACACTTCTAGCCCCATGGCAACCGAACGGCAAGTATATAAACTACATTTTCGAGTATTTTGTCGGAAATATTTCCTTGTTCAAGAGGCTAACGTTAGCTTTGTTTTTGTCGTTTTAGCAGTTTCCCGGATAGCTTCATAGACGAGAACCCACAGAAAGCTATCGAGGTAAAACAACGGCTAGCTGGCTGTCAAATTAGAAAGGAAAATATGAACTCGTTTTATTGAAAGTCAATTGCATTATTCTCGCTAGCTAAAATTGTCAGGGGGGTTGAAATGTTTTCAATAACGCTAACTAGCTAGATAGCTAACTATAAACTTTTCGGAGCTGGCTAACTAGCTAGTGTAGGGCTAACTTTAGAAACTAACCTAACGAGATAGCTAGTTAAGTTAGCCACACCACTACCAAACTATTTTGGTCTGAAAGGACTTACTCTCAGTTGTTGCTCAACTCCAGCAGTAGTGATAGCTAGCTATATGTGTACCGTCACAGTAATTAGTTAGCTTCTTGGTTGTATCTTGTTGTTGTACTAGCTAGCTAGTTAAGCTAACTGGCTAACCACCTGCCATACATCAAACATGTCTTGATTGTAGATACCTAACTAACCACCTTACTAATGTAAGATAAGATTTTGTGCAGAAAGCCAAGTTAAATAGTTGGGAACATGAAAATGTATCGAAACAATAGTTAACCTTAGCTAGTGGTCATAAACATATTTTTTCAATGTCTTGTCAATTCAATTGACCCCAAGTTTGCCCATTTGATGTCACCGTCATTTCCCCCCAGGAACTTAATGAAGCATTGGAAGTAAACTCTGACAATTCAGAATGGTTCTGCCAACGAGCCTATGCCCACCTCCAACTGAAAAACTACAGCTGTAAGTCTCTTATCCTAACCCCCAACATCTTACCCAAACAATCCTAACCCTCTACCTGGAAAAACTGCTATCAGCCAGACCCTAACCTTGATCCTCCATTGACAAACTACAGCTCTAACCCTTGACTAACCTCCTACCTAGCTTTACTGATGTTCAGAATGGGTGATTTGTATAATTATTTTAATTGAAGTGACTCATGTTAGTTCCCTTTTTTTTGTCTTTGCTACAGAAACTTGAGCTATGTTTCTCATCTGAGTATGTCTGTTTCTGTCTCTACAGGTGCTGTCGATGATGCCAAGAGAGCCCAGCAGCTCAACCCCAGTCTTCCTCTTGCCTTCATGAGAACAGGGTAGACTCACCTTCTCTCTCTCTCTCTGTGTGTGTGTCCATCACAGGAGGTTGGTGGCACCTTAATTGGGGAGGACAGGCTCGTGGTAATGGCTGGAGCGGAATAGGTGGTATGGTTTCTATGTATTTGATGCCATTCCATTTGCGCCGTTCCAGACATTATAATGAGCCGTCCTCCCCTCAGCAGCCTCCACTGTCCATGTAGCCATTCCCCTTGCCTTCATGAGAGCAGGGTATGTGTACAGATTGAGTCTACCTAGGACATGGTGATATTGCCTAAAAATGTCAACTTTTTTTTAAAACTTATGGGCGATTCACAATATATATTTCCAAAATTGTTATTTTTTTCTAAATAAGCCTTGTTGCACAATTAAATGTCAATATGCTGCATTTCAAACAGTCAGGAATAATCTAATGAATTCGGGGCTTGTAAAACTATACCTAGGCTAACCATAAGACCCACTACCAGGCTGCTAGGTAGCCTAACGGTTAGTGTTGGGCCATAACCGAAAGGTTGCTGGTTCGAATACCCGAGCCGGCAAGGTGAAAAATCTGTGTCCTCGAGCAAGGCATTTAACCCTCATTTGCTCCAGGGGCGCCGTACTACTATGGCTGACCCAGTAAAAAATAATAATCGCTGCACCTATTCAGTGTATGTGACAATAAAGCATATATGTATATATCTCAAAATGGTTTAACCTGCTTTTTTGCAATAATCACTGACCTGTCTTTCAAGTCTATGAAAATGCCCTTTTTGGTTACAAATTTAACCAGAACCATGCATAATGCACATCCACTAATAACGACTTACTTCTGGTAGCAGACATTATTATTGTGAGTGGCAGGGGGGGGGAGGTGCACAGTGCACACAGCACAGAAGGAGCAAAGTAGATGAGACCAAAAAGACAAACGCTCATAGAAACCAAAAAATATTAAAACCTTTTTTCATGTCTTTTCTTATCAGATGAATGATAATGACAAGGAGAAGTAATCAACATTTTAAAATGAATAGATTCGGTAGATAGTTATTTTGACATCCCCACATTATAATTGAAAGAAAAAGTGTAAACTCTAATATATTACATTTACATTTTTGTCATTTAGCAGACGCTCTTATCCAGAGCGACTTACAGGAGCAAGTAGGGTTAAGTGCCTTGCTCAAGGGCACATCGACAGATTTTTCACCTAGTCGGCTCGGGGATTAGAACCAGCGACCTTTCGGTTACTGGCACAACTCTCTTAACCACTAAGCTACCTGCCGCCCAATATAGCCTATTAGCTAGAAAGGTAACTCCAAACACATTTTCGCTAAGTGCAGCTGTTTACCTTGTTAAAGTTTAGCCATGTGTTGGCAAAAATTTGTGTCAGAGTCAAGAAAGCTTACCAGCAGCCAGCGGCACTTGCCGCAGTGGTAGCTTATTCGTGTGTGCTTTTTCAAAGCCAGTCTCAGATACTCCAGTGAGTGTAGTTGGCTACAATGAATGTAATTTGCTCAATATTAATAGTTGAGAAATGAATTTCACCCCATTCGAACGATATTCTCTTTTTTACTCTAGGTACGTTATACAAATGTTTTTTTCTGTTGCTAGGGATATTAATAAAAACATTAAAATAAAAAAGTAACTTTATACAGTGCATTCGGAAAGTATTCAGATCCCTTGACTTTCCACATTTTGTTACGTTACAGCCTTATTCTAAAATGTATTAATCCTCACCAATCTACACACAATACCCCATAATGACAAAGCGAAAAAAGTTTTTTAGAAAGTTTTTGCAAATTTATTTTAAAAAAACAACAACTTAAACCTTATTTACATAAGTATTCATAACCTTTACTATGAGACTTGAAATTGAGTTCAGGTGCATCCTGTTAACATTGATTATCCTTGATGTTTCTACAACCAGTCCACCTGTGGTAATTTCAATTGATTGGACATGATTTGGAAAGGGACACATCTGTCTATGTAAGGTCCCACAGTCGACAGGGGATGTCAGAGCAAAAACCAGAGGTCGGAGGAATTGTCCGTAGAGTTCCGAGACATGGTTGTTAAACAAGTGTTAAACAAATCAAAATATATTTGAGATTCTTCAAAGTAGCCACCCTTTGCCTTGATGACAGCTTTGCACACTCTTGGCATTCTCTCAACCAGCTTCATGAGGAATGCTTTTCCAACAGTCTAGAAGGAGTTCCCACATATGCTAAGCACTTGTTGGCTGCTTTTCCTTCACTCTGCTGCCCAACACATCCCAAACCATCTCAATTGGGTTGAGGTCGGGTGATTTTGGAGGCCAGGTCATCTGATGCAGCACTCCATCACTCTCCTTGGTCAGATAGCCCTTACACAGCCTGGAGGTGTGTTTTGGGTCATTGTCCTGTTGAAAAACAAACAATAGGAACACTAAGCCCAAACCAGATGGGATGGTGTATCGCTGCAGAATGCTGTGGTAGCCATGCTGGTTAACTGTGCCTTGAATTCTAAATAAATCACAGACAGTGTCACCAGCAAAGCACTGTCACACCACCTCCATGCTTCACGGTGGTAACCACACATGCAGAGATCATCCGTTCACCTACTCTGCGTCTCACAAAGAACCAAAAATCAAAAAGTTGCACTCATCAGACCAAAGGACAGATTTCCACCAGTCTAATGTCCATTGCTCGTGTTGCTTGGCCCAAGCAAGTCTCCTCTTCTTATTGGTGTCCTTTAGTAGTGGTTTCTTTGCAGCAATTTCACCATGAACGCCTGACTCAGTCTCCTCTGAACAGTTGATGTTGAGATGTGTCTGTTACTTGAACTCTGTGAAGCATTTATTTGGGCTGCAATCTGAGGCTGGTAACTCTAATGAACTTATCCTCTGCAGCAGAGGTAACTCTGGGTCTTCCTTTCCTGTGGCGGTCCTCATGACAGCTAGTTTCATCATAGCGCTTGATGGTTTTTGCGACTGCATTTGAAGAAACTTTCAAAGTTCTTGAAATTTTCCGGATTTACTGACCTTCATGTCTTAAAGTAATGATGGAGTGTCTCTCTTTGCTTATTTGAGCTGTTCTTGCCATAATATGGACTTGGTATTTTATCAAATAGGACTATCTTCTGTATACCAACCCTACCTTGTCACGACACAACTGACTAGCTCAAACGCATTAAGAAGGAAAGAAATTCCACAAATTAACATTTTAACAAGGCACACCTGTTAATCGAAATGCATTCCAGGTGACTACCTCATGAAGCTGGTTGAGAGAATGCCAATAGTGTGCAAAGCTGTCATAAAGGCGAAGGGTGGCTATTTGAAGAATCTCAAATATAAAATATATTGATTTGTTTAACACTTTTATTTTGGTTACTACATGATTCCATATGTGTTATTTCATAGTTTTGATGTCTTCACTATTATGCTACAATGTAGAAAATAGTAAAAATACAGAAAAACCCTTGAATGAGTAGATGTGTCCAAACTTTTGACTGGTACTGTATGTCAAACCTAAATTGGTTGTCAGTTTCCCCAGAGTTATTTTTATTTTATTTTTTTGTCTGCTACTGATAACATCCCTGCCCCTGTCTCCCTCCCTGCAGAATGGCAGAGTACCACCTGAACCACTTCGAGTCGGCACATGCTGCCTTCACTCAGGGACACAGCCTGGACGGTGAGGTCTGCTGAGGGGACCTGTGAAGCACATACCACCTCGACACCTCCTCTAACCTTACCCACTTAATCCCAAATCGACTGCTAGCCCATATCCCTAGACACTTCATGTATATCTAAAAGGAAAATATACACTGCTCAAAAAAATAAAGGGAACACTTAAACAACACATCCTAGATCTGAATGAATTAAATAATCTTATTAAATATGTTTTTCTTTACATAGTTGAATGTGCTGACAACAAAATCACACAAATTATCAATGGAAATCAAATGTATCAACCCATGGAGGTCTGGATTTGGAGTCACCCTCAAAATTAAAGTGGAAAACCACACTACAGGCTGATCCAACTTTGATGTAATGTCCTTAAAACAAGTCAAAATGAGGCTCAGTAGTGTGTGTGGCCTCCACGTGCCTGTATGACCTCCCTACAACGCCTGGGCATGTTCCTGATGAGGTGGCGGATGGTCTCCTGAGGGATCTCCTCCCAGACCTGGACTAAAGCATCCGCCAACTCCTGGACAGTCTGTGGTGCAACGTGGCGTTGGTGGATGGAGCGAGACATGATGTCCCAGATGTGCTCAATTGGATTCAGGTCTGGGGAACGGGCGGGCCAGTCCATAGCATCAATGCCTTCCTCTTGAAGGAACTGCTGACACACTCCAGCCACATGAGGTCTAGCATTGTCTTGCATTAGGAGGAACCCAGGGCCAACCGCACCAGCATATGGTCTCACAAGGGGTCTGAGGATCTCATCTCGGTACCTAATGGCAGTCAGGCTACCTCTGGCGAGCAAATGGAGGGCTGTGCGGCCCCCCAAAGAAATGCCACCCCACACCATGACTGACCCACTGCCAAACCGGTCATGCTGGAGGATGTTGCAGGCAGCAGAACATTCTCCACGGCGTCTCCAGACTCTCACGTCTGTCACATGTGCTCAGTGTGAACCTGCTTTCATCTGTGAAGAGCACAGGGCGCCAGTGGCGAATTTGCCAATCTTGGTGTTCTCTGGCAAATGCCAAACGTCCTGCACGGTGTTGGGCTGTAAGCACAACCCCCACCTGTGGACGTCGGGCCCTCATACCACCCTCATGGAGTCTGTTTCTGACCGTTTGAGCAGACACATGCACATTTGTGGCCTGCTGGAGGTCATTTTGCAGGGCTCTGGCAGTGCTCCTCCTGCTCCTCCTTGCACAAATGAGGAGGTAGCGGTCCTGCTGCTGGGTTGTTGCCCTCCTACAGCCTCCTCCACGTCTCCTGATGTACTGGCCTGTCTCCTGGTAGCGCCTCCATGCTCTGGACACTACGCTGACAGACACAGCAAACCTTCTTGCCACAGCTCGCATTGATGTGCCATCCTGGATGAGCTGCACTACCTGAGCCACTTGTGTGGGTTGTAGACTCCGTCTCATGCTACCACGAGAGTGAAAGCACCGACAGCATTCAAAAGTGACCAAAACATCAGCCAGGAAGCATAGGAACTGAGAAGTGGTCTGTGGTCACCACCTGCAAAACCAGTCCTTTATTGGGGGTGTCTTGCTAAATGCCTATAATTTCCACCTGTTGTCTATTCCATTTGCACAACAACATGTGAAATTTATTGTCAATCAGTGTTGCTTCCTAAGTGGACAGTTTGATTTCACAGAAGTGTGATTGACTTGGAGTTACATTGTGTTGTTTAAGTGTTCCCTTTATTTTTTTGAGCAGTGTATTATTTGTATTATAAATATAGTAACAGTTCTTGCCCTCTAAGTTAAGTCAGTGGTTTTCTTTTCAGAGTGGACACAATTTTCTTTTCAACTGACATTTTTGGGGACCCTATTTGTTTTCGACAACAATTTCTCACGACCCCACCCCAAATCTAATTACACAACCTTAAAAATTGATACATTTTGTTTTTTTATCAACCTTAAATTCATTACATTTCATATCTTATCAAAATGAAGAAGAACATACATTTACGCCTCAAACACACCTACAGGTTTTTTTGGATATGTTTTTTGTAAATGTATTTGAAACCCCACCTCTTTAAGGAACACCTGGGATAGGATAAGTAATCCTTCTACCCCCCCCCCCCCCCCCAAAAAAAAAAAATTACGTGGTTATCCCACTGGCTATAAGGTGAATGCACCAATTTGTAAGTCGCTCTGGATAAAAGCGTCTGCTAAATGACGTAAATGTAAAAAATGTGTGCAACAAAAGTTCAACATTCACCTTCTGCTACCATTTCTGTCAAGCCATTTACAGTGAGGGAAAAAAGTATTTGATCCCCTGCTGATTTTGTACGTTTGCCCACTGACAAAGAAATTATCAGTCTATAATTGTAATGGTAGGTTTATTTGAACAGTGGGAGACAGAATAACAACAAACAAATCCAGAAAAACACATGTCAAAAAGGTTATAAATTGATTTGCAATTTAATGAGGGAAATAAGTATTTGACCCCTCTGCAAAACATGACTTAGTACTTGGTGGCAAAACCCTTGTTGGCAATCACAGAGGTCAGACGTTTCTTGTAGTTGGCCACCAGGTTTGCACACATCTCAGGAGGGATTTTGTCCCACTCCTCTTTGCAGATCTTCTCCAAGTCATTAAGGTTTCGAGGCTGACGTTTGGCAACTCAAACCTTCAGGTCCGTCCACAGATTTTCTATGGGATTAAGGTCTGGATACTGGCTAGGCCACTCCAGGACCTTAATGTGCTTCTTCTTGAGCCACTCCTTTGTTTCTTTGGCCGTGTGTTTTGGGTCACTGTCATGCTGGAATACCCATCCACGACCCATTTTCAATGCCCTGGCTGAGGGAAGGAGGTTCTCACCCAAGATTTGACGGTACATGGCCCCGTCCATCGTCCCTTTGATGCGGTGAAGTTGTCCTGTCCCCTTAGCAGAAAAACACCCCCAAAGCATAATGTTTCCACCTCCATGTTTGACGGTGGGGATGGTGTTCTTGGGGTCATAGGCAGCATTCCTCCTCCTCCAAACAAGGCGAGTTGAGTTGATGCCAAAGAGCTCCATTTTGGTCTCATCTGACCACAACACTTTCACCCAGTTCTCCTCTGAATCATTCAGATGTTAATTGGCAAACTTCAGACATGCATGTATATGTGCTTTCTTGAGCAGGGGGACCTTGCGGGCGCTGCAGGATTTCAGTCCTTCACGGCGTAGTGTGTTACCAATTGTTTTCTTGGTGACTATGGTCCCAGCTGCCTTGAGATCATTGACAAGATCCTCCCGTGTAGTTCTGGGCTGATTCCTCACCGTACTCATGATCATTGCAACTCCACGAGGTGAGATCTTGCATGGAGCCCCAGGCCGAGGGAGATTGACAGTTCTTTTGTGTTTCTTCCATTTGCGAATAATCGCACCAACTGTTGTCACCTTCTCACCAACCTGCTTGGCGATGGTCTTGTAGCCCATTCCAGCCTTGTGTAGGTCTACAATCATGTCCCTGACATCCTTGGAGAGCTCTTTGGTCTTGGCCATGGTGGAGAGTTTGGAATCTGATTGATTGCTTCTGTGGACAGGTGACTTTTATACAGGTAACAAACTGAGATTAGGAGTACTCCTCTCAGCTCGTTACCTGTATAAAAGACACCTGGGAGCCAAAAATCTTTTTGATTGAGAGGGGGTCAAATACTTATTTCCCTCATTAAGATGCAAATCAATTTATAACATTTTTGACATGCGTTTTTCTGGATTTCTTTGTTATTCTGTCTCTCACTGTTCAAATAAACCTACCATTAAAGTTATAGACTGATCATTTCTTTGTCAGTGGGCAAACGTACAAAATCAGCAGGGGATCAAATACTTTTTTCCCTCACTGTATGCATACAATTTGATGCATAAGTTCGATTTATCCAATGTATGCACCACACAGAACGTACTGCAACGCAATGCTGCAAGGCAAACGCAGCGTTCCATTGGAAATGTATGTACTTCTGGTGTACCAAAACGCAATGACGCTGTCGGGGTGATCAAGGCGGTACTCAATTATATATATTTTTTCAAATGATCTTTCTCAAACATATCTTGTCCCATACAATAATCTGTACTTTTAATTTGTACTCTTTAAATATTTATTAGATTGACCCCGACTTTTAATACCACTGGGTTAGGTGGAATATTAGCCATATTGTTTATACTTTCCTGTCTGAAATCTACTGAAGTCTGTGGCTACGGGTATGTTTGTAATTCCTCAGTAGAGTTGTGTTGAAACTGGTTGAGATTCTGTCTGAACGCTAACAGTGTGTTCTCCCCGTGCTCCACAGGCTCAGATAACACTTTCCAAACATGGATCAAACGTTGTGAGGAGATGATGGGGAGTAAGTAGGAGCTGTTTTCGTACCTCAATCGCCATAATGAAAATAAGTCCCTGACTTTGTGCAATCCCGGTCACGTTTAAAAAAAAAGTCTATGTACTGTGTAGATATGTGTTTTTTCTGAACTGACAGATATAGTCAATCAATTAATCGGACAGTGAAGCAAACATTTTGTGAATTTGGCTCTATACTCCAGCATTTTGGATTTGAGATCAGATGTTTCATGAGGCGACAGTACAGAATGTCACCTTTTATTTGAGGGTATTGTCAAACGAATGTTATAGCGTTTAGAAATGAAAGGACTTTATGTATCTAGTCCCCCCTGTTTTGAATACTGTCTTTTTTATTACATTTTGACAAATTCACTTAGTGTCGTAAAGGTGCACTATGCAGAAATTGCTCAGCCATTTCCCAGTTGGTAAAATTCTAATAGTATGCCTGATTTCAGTTTGACAAAACAAACAAGTATAGTGTAGAGAATCATTGTACCATCTAAACCGCTGTGAAATATATTTTCCATAACCAAAAATATTGTTTTCAGCTGTTTGAAGTTAGTATACCAAAAGTACAAATCAAAAACGAAACTTAAGGACGTGATGTATAGAAATAGTGCACATAGAACAGATCTACTGCCTCTTAGACGTGCTTTCAATGAGAATGACAATCTATAACTCACATTTCTATATGAATTTGGTCTGGTCGCCCAAAAAGTTACATATTGCAGCTTTAAAGTAGTCAAAAGTTTAGTATTTGGGCCCATATTCGTAGCACGCAATGTCTACATCAAGCTTGTGACTCTAAACTTGTTGGATGCATTTGCAGGTTGTTTTTGTTGTGTTTTAGATTATGTTTTGCCCAATTGGAACTGAATAATGTATTGTCATTTTGGAGTCACTTTTATTGTAAATAAGAATAGAAGTTTCTGAACACTTCTTCATTCATGTGGATGCTACCATGATTATGGATAATCATGAATTAATTGTGAATAATGATGAGTGAGAAAGTTAGAGATCATACCCCTCCAAAAATGCTAACCTCCCCTGTTATTGTCCAAATAAATACGGAGTGGAGTGCATCTCCAACCTCGATCTAAACTCTAACCCTATACTAGCTAAATTCTTAATTAGAGAATATGTTTGTGTGTGTGGTTGTCATCGTCTGAGGGGTTTAAATTGATCACATTAATAATGTATGTCTCTCTGGGGTGGGGGGTAGGCCTCGGATCAACCCCAGTAAACATCCACACAGATACACATCCATTGCGTGTTGGGCTCGCATTCTAAACAGCCCATGTGACACCCCTCTCATGCATACCAAAATACAGACACACACAGATGTATAGTACATCTTCAAACAGCTTCAAAACCACATTAAATGCACACACACTGTTGCACAAGCACACCAACACACACCTCAGTCGTCCTTTGCCATGCCCTGGCCTTACCCTGTGAGTTCCCTCCCGTCTCTTTCATGTGTGAAGTGACAGTGTTTACCGCTAGGCGCTTCTGCCTGACGCCCCCACACATCAAAACAGGGTGTGCATATGGTGATATCTCACACACCCTTCTCTTCACGCCAGCCCCCCCGTTTCCCTTTTCAAACGCGACCTCATTTAGACAACGTTAATCTTCCGTCTCATCCCTGGCCTCTTCCCCTTTTATCTCCTCTCTCCTTTTCCCTCCTTCTCCCTCTCTCTCGCTATTTATTTTCTCCCTCTCCTGCCCTCCCTCTGCCGCCACCTCCCTCTAATGAAAGCAGTGAATAATGTAACAGACAGAACTGGTAAATACAGATCAGGCCTGTTTAGCCTCAGTGGGTAAACAAACTGCCTCTGAGATCTCACAGGGAGGTGTATTTTTGTGTTTTTCTGGCCTGTTAATGTATGAGTAAGTGGAAACTGGCTGACTGTAGTATACCGTTTCCTCTCCCTTGCAGTGGCCAATCAGAATGGAAAGGAGAACAAGGTGAGTGCTGATGACCACTTTGGATGTTCCTACCGTTATTCTATCTACAGTGGGGAGAACAATTATTTGATACACTGCTGATTTTGCAGGTTTTCCTACTTACAAAGCATGTAGAGTTCTGTAATTTTTATCATAGGTACACTTCAACTGTGAGAGACGGAATCTAAAACAAAAATCCAAAAAATCGCATTGTATGATTTTTAAGTAATTAATTTGCATTTTATTGCATGACATAAGTATTTGATACATCAGAAAAGCAGAACTTAATATTTGTTACAGAAACCTTTGTTTGCAATTACAGAGATCATACGTTTCCTGTAGGTCTTGACCAGGTTTGCAAACACTGCAGCAGGGATTTTGGCCCACTCCTCCATACAGACTTTCTCCAGATCCTTCAGGTTTTGGGGCTGTCGCTGGGCAATACGGACTTTCAGCTCTCTTTCTATTGGGTTCAGGTCTGGAGACTGGCTAGGCCACTCCAGGACCTTTTAGATGCTTCTTACGGAGCCACTCCTTAGTTGCCCTGGCTGTGTGTTTCGGGTCGTTGTCATGCTGGAAGGCCCAGCCACGACCCATCTTCAATGCTCTTACTGAGGGAAGGAGGTTGTTGGCCAAGATCTCGCGATACATGGCCCCATCCATCCTCCCCTCAATACGGTGCAGTCGTCCTGTCCCCTTTGCAGAAAAGCATCCCCAAAGAATGTTTCCATCTCCATGCTTCACGGTTGGGATGGTGTTCTTGGGGTTGTACTCATCCTTCTTCTTCCTCCAAACACGGCGAGTGGAGTTTAGACCAAAAAGCTATATTTTTGTCTCATCAGACCACATGACCTTCTCCCATTCCTCCTCTGGATCATCCAGATGGTCATTGGCAAACTTCAGACGGGCCTGGACATGCGCTGGCTTGAGCAGGGGGACCTTGCGTGAGCTGCAGGATTTTAATCCATGACGGCGTAGTGTGTTACTAATGGTTTTCTTTTAGACTGTGGTCCCAGCTCTCTTCAGGTCATTGACCACGTCCTGCCGTGTAGTTCTGGGCTGATCCCTCACCTTCCTCATGATCATTGATGCCCCACGAGGTGAGATCTTGCATGGAGCCCCAGACCAAGGGTGATTGACCGTCATCTTGAACTTTCTAATAATTGCACCAACAGTTGTTGCCTTCTCACCAAGCTACTTGCCTATTGTCCTGTTGCCCATCCCAGCCTTGGGCAGGTCTACAATTTTATCCCTGATGTCCTTACACAGCTCTCTGGTCTTGGCCATTGTGGAGAGGTTGGAGTCTGTTTGATTGAGTGTGTGGACAGGTGTCTTTTATACAGGTAACGAGTTCAAACAGGTGCAGTTAATACAGGTAATGAGTGGAGAACAGGAGGGCTTCTTAAAGAAAAACTAACAGGTCTGTGAGAGCTGGAATTCTTACTGGTTGGTAGGTGATCAAATACTTATGTCATGCAATAAAATACAAATTAATTACTTAAAAATCATACAATGAAATGTTCTGGATTTTTGTTTTAGATTCCGTCTCTCACAGTTGAAGTGTACCTATGATAAAAATTACAGACCTCTACATGCTCTGTAAGTAGGAAAACCTGCAAAATCGGCAGTGTATCAAATACTTGTTCTCCCCACTGTATGTCCACCGTAGAGAAGATGGAAAGAGGCCTCATCTTTATATCCGGGCCATTATGGCATCTGTGACAGCCTCGATGGCGCTGCCCAAGCTATCCCCATTTTGAGGTAGTACATTTTCTTCACGATTGGCTGATCCCTCCTGATGACCCGTTTCTCATGACTCCAACAGGGTCACCAGGAGGGATCGGCCAATTAAGTTGAAGTCCCACCCAATTCACTACATTAAAATGGTGGAAGCCCTCAAAGGCGCTGCCCAATGCCAAAACAGCCGTTTGGTCACTAGAGGCCTCTATCATTCTCTGATGTCCACATACCTTAGACCACATGTGCCAAACTAATTCCATTGGGGGCTGAGCATCTGCGGGTTTTTGCTCCTCCCTTGTACTTGATTGATTGAAATATGGTCACTAATTAGTAAGGAACTCCTTACCTGGTTGTCTGTCTTAATTGAAAGGAAAGACCCGCAGACACTAGGCCCTCCATGGAAAGAGTTTGATACTCCTGCCTTAGACTGTATACAGGTTTTTCTGGCTTTCAGTTCCACCCTCTGCCTCATGGGGGCAGTGTTGCTCTCAGTATTTCAGACCTTATTTATTATGTCTGGTCTAAAGGCTAGAGCTAATCATAAACCCTCTCTTTTTTTTATCTTGTTTTGTTTTTAAACTTTCTCTCTCTTCCTGGGATGACTGGATGCCCCAGCAGAAACCAACGCCACGCATTAAGTAAGTACAGTTCATGCTGTGGCCCTACATAGTGCACTACTTTTGGAATACCTATGGCCCTGGTCAAAAGTAGTGTACTATATTGGGAATAGGGGGTCATTTGGGATGCATACTATGTATGCAGGAAGGTGGATAACTTGTTCCTACACTTCAGGGGCAACCTGTACTAATTGTGTATGTCCTCAGGCATGACTGGTACCAGACAGAGTCTCAGGTCATCGTTACCATCATGGTGAAAAATGCGCCTAAGGATGGGGTCAACATCAACTTCGACGAGAGACAGGTACACGCACGCACACCTCTCTCTTTCTCTCTCTCTCACACACACACACACACAGGTCAGTGTAAGAAGCTCTTGAGGAGAGAGAATTACAGTTCTCTCTAAACTGTCAGAAGTGCTGCCAGAGTATCAGCTGCCCAGTACTGTGGTCACTGAGGAAGCTATCTCTAGACATGTCTGTATTTCTCATCTTATTTACACTGAACAAAAATATAAACGCAACATGTAAAGTGTTGGTCCCATGTTTCATGAGCTGAATTAAAAGGTCCCAGAAATTTTTCATACGCACAAAAAGCTTATTTCGCTCATATTGTGTGCAAAAATGAGTTTACATCCCTGTTAGTGAGCATTTCTCCTTTGCCAAGATAATCCATCTGACTGACAGGTGTGGCATATCAAGAAGCTGATTAAACAGCATGATCATTACACACAGGTGCACCTTGTGCTGGCGACAATAAAAGGCCACTTTAAAATGTGCAGTTTTGTCACAACACAATGCTACAGATGTCTCAAGTTTTGTCCACCAGAGCTGTTGCCAGATAATTTTATGTTAATATCTCTACCCTAAACCGCCTCCAACGTCGTTTTAGAGAATTTGGCAGTACGTCCAGCCGGACTCACAACCGCAGACCACGTATATGGCGTCGTGTGGGTGAACAGAGTGCCCCATGGTGGCGGTGGGGTTATGTATGGGCAGGCATAAGCTACGGACAACAAACACAATTACATTTTATCGATGGCAATTTGAATGCACAGAGATACCGTGATGAGATCCTGAGGCCCATTGTCATGCCATTCAGCCGCTGCCATCACCTCATGTTTCAGCAGCGATAATGCGCAGCCCCATGTCGCACGGAACTGTACCCAATTCCTGAAAGCTTAATGTCCCAGTTCCATGGCCTGCACACTCACCAGGCATGTCTCCCATTGGGCATGTTTTGGATGCTCTGGTTTGACGTGTACGACAGCGTACACGCTAAAAACGCAAGAAAACCCTATATTACCAGAATGCTAACAATATTAGCACAAACTAAAAGCGAAATCACGTAGACGCTAAATGCTAACAAGCGAAAACTAACGTAAACTAATTGCAAAGACAGGCAAATCAGCTCATAAGTTATACAAGCGAAGCTAGTGAATGTCATTTTCGATGAGTGGACATTTACAAGCGAAAGTGATCGAGAGAAATTGTGCAAATGAACGAAGTTGTGATGCGTGCTTTTCTGAAGGAAGTGCAGCATGTGTACACGGAGAAGAATGGAGGAGGGGGAAAAAACGCTAGTAGGAAGCACAGGGAAAAAATTGCAACTGTACAGATATCTCGTCCAGAGCTCGTTGACTTCTGGCAGAAAGCCATTTATAAGATATGATGGCAAACATTTTAGTAGTGAATTAAATACAAGTGTAACTACATCACCTCATGTGCAATGCACAACAGAGACTTGATGATAGATATAGAACGCTATGGACGCTTTCTCCCGTTATGCTATTTACAAACAAACACGTGACTGGTTCAACTGTTCTGGGGAACTACGTTAAGCTCCATAATGTGACCGGTGAAATGAACGCAATCTGCTTTATCTCCTAACGTATTGCACAAGTTGACTGCAGGTATTAACTTAAAAAGTAGCTCCAAATATGAAAAATGTATTGAGAAACATAATAAATAGTTTTGACGGTATTGAAAAACCATCCTGTGGCTTAGTTGTTCTCTCCGCTGAGGCCCCCCTACAGTAAAGCAGCTCTCTCTGATACACACAGAGAGATGCCTGATTCCAATTCCACATCTCGTTCCCTTCCTCTGCCCTCGCCCACTCTTTCTGTTGTTCTGAGAATAGTAAGGGTGTTATTAGGGGTAATGAGATAGCTAGGGGGCTTTTCCTCCAGAGGAGCTATGGCAGGGATGCTGTCAGGGGTATCTCTCTCACACACACACACACACACTCCCTTTGGGCACAGCTATGCCCCCAGGGGTGCCTGTAAGCTCAGATCTAGGAACAGTTTACCCTCCCCAAGTCTAAATCCCCAATCGAAGAAAGCCCAACTGATCTAAGACCAGCACTAAACCCCTCAGCGTGAATTTGAAGAAACAGCCCCCTCTCCCCACCGCTCTATGAGATGGTCTGCAGTGGAGGGTGGGTGTGTGTGTGTGTGTGTGTATAATGTGTGTTCTATCTGTAGATGTCAGCGGTGCTGAAATTTCCATCGGGGGAGGACTTCAGCCTGAACATGAACCTGCTGCATCCCATTGTCCCCCAACACAGCACCTTCAAGGTCCTCTCCACCAAGGTGACACACACACTCCATACTCCTCAGCCTATCAGAACTCTCATATCATTTGCCTCAAGAACTGAGAAAATGTTCCCACAGGTGAAACGTGTATAAAACCACAGTTCTCAAGGCATTATGCAGCCTGGGCCCAGGAACCCTTAGAAACGTGATTAAACACAGCAGGTTAACCAGAGAATGACCAGACTGGAATGTGATAATTAACCATTAGTGGAGCAGAAAGACTGGGAGGAGGAGAATCCTCTTTAATTCAGAGCTGACTGGGTCAACACACACAATAGAGCTCTGCCCTGTGAGAATTAACAAGCTCTGGAGTTGTAAGTAATTATGGCTGATAATGAGTGGGAAGGGCACTTCTTATTGTTCACAAGTTAGTGAGTATGTAGTGTATAGTAATTGGTGTGTAGGCATTTCCATGCGCATTCTTACTCACTTCCACTTTATAATGTTGGAACTGACAGAGAAGCCTGTGGTCAATCCTTCTGAATGTGAAAATGGAATATAGTTAGTTTATTGATGACAAATGACAAGCTTGAAATGAATAGTGTGTGTGTGTGTGTGTGTGTGTGTGTGAGACTCATCCTGTGCGTGTACATGTGAGAGAGGCACCAAGCTCCGCTAATCCGTCTAGTGTGTGTGGGGAATCTGGGGATGGGTGCAGGCTGATGGGGCTTGTTTAGGGCATTAGATGGTGCTCAGTCTAACGAGACAGCGGGACACGCCACACTCACGGCACAACAGGGGGAGGTTGACAGAGACCGAGTGAAGAGGGGATGATTTGGTAGCAGAGAGGAAAAGAGATGGAGGGACACCGAGAGGGAGAAGAGGGATATAATATAGAAAGTAAGGTTGAGAAGAGAGCTTATTCCGGAGAGTTCCTGCCAGCCAATGCCAAAACAAGTTTCCACCCTAGAGGGAGAACGTAGCCCCTCTCCATACTCGCATACACTCTCACTCACAGTTCCCCATGGCAACCTCAGGCACTGCATACCAGAGGTGTACGTGTGTTGAAGCTCAAACAAGGACCCAGTCTTAGAATAGGAAGAGGAGGGGCAAAGAGGGGGAGATTACTGTCTTGGATACACACACGCACACACATGTTGTCATCAGACCTGGGTTCAAATACATGTTTATTTGTTATTTAAATACTTGTGTATTTGAGTATATTCAGATAATGTGGCCCGACTCAACTACTTCTATTGGAAGTATTTTAAAATAATTTCCTATACATAGCCTACTGTTTGAAAGTATTTTCAAATACTTTTTTCAAATGCCTGGGTTATATGCATGGGAGTGTATTTGAGCATTTTAAAATTCTTTGCAAATACATTCCAATATTCAACTACTTGTCTTTTCAAAAGTTTGTCATACGCACTGCGTACATGCACACAAACGTAATGTAGCATAATCCACACACTCACACAAGGAGTCAGTCTTAAAGGAAGAGAAAGGGGGGGGGGGTGAGAGAGGAGGGGGTTAAGAGGGGGATGGAGAGAGGAGAGTTTAGGCCCCCTCCACTCACACAAAGCCCTGTTTGTTCCCTGGTCCACAGGGCTCCAAAGGCTCTCATGGCCCTACACACACATGCATACAAAACACAAACCAACTCACAAAGATGGGGAATTTACATTTACATTTTAGTCATTTAGCAGACGCTCTTATCCAGAGCGACTTACAGTTAGTGAGTGCATACATTTTCATACTGGCCCCCCGTGGGAAACAAACACATGTAAAACACACTGTCACTTACTGTATATGTACAGTACCAGTCAAGAGTTTGGACACCTACTCATTCAAGGGTTTTTATTTATTTTTACAGTTTTCTACATTGTAGAATAATAGTGAAGACATCAAAACTATGAAATAACACATATGAAAACGTGTTAAACAAATCAATGTTATATTTGAGATTATTCAAATAGCCACCCTTTGCCTTGATGACAGCTTTGCACACTCTTGGCATTCTCTCAACCAGCTTCACCTGGAATGATTTTCCAACAGTCTTGAAGGAGTTCCCACATATGCTGAGCACTTGTTGGCTGCTTTTCCTTCACTCTGCCGTCCGACTCATTCCCAAACCATCTCAATTGGGTTGTGGTCGGGGGATTGTGGAGGCCAGGTCATCTGATGCAGCATTCCATCACTCTCCTTCTTGGTCAAATAGCCCTTACACAGCCTGGAGGTGTGTTGGGTCATTGTCCTGTTGAAAAACAAATGATAGTCCCATTAAGCCCAAACCAGATGGGATGGCGTATCGCTGTAGAATGCTGAGGTAGCCATGCTGGTTAAGTGTACCTTGAATTCTAAATAAATCACAGACCGTGTCACCAGCAAAGCACCATAACTCCACCTCCTCCATGCTTTACGGCGTGAAATACACATGCAGAGTTAATCCATTCACCCACACCGCGTCTCACAAAGACACAGCGGTTGGAACCAAAAATCTCCAATTTGGACTCCAAATTTCCACCGGTCTCATGTCCATTGCTCGTGTTTCTTGGCCCAAGCACGTCTCTTCTTATTGGTGTCCTTTAGTAGTGGTTGCTTTGCAACAATTTGTCCGTGAAGGCCTGATTTACACAGTCCCCTCTGAACTGTTGATGTGTTCACTACTTGAACTCTGAAGCATTTATTTGGGCTGCAATTTCTGAGGCTGATAACTCTAATGAACTTATCCTCTGCAGCAGAGGTAACTGTCTTTATTCCTGTCGCGGTCCTCATGAGAGCCAGTTCCATCATAGCGCTTGATGGTTTTTGTGACTGCACTTGAAGAAACTTTCCGGATTGACTGACCTTCATTTCTTAAAGTAATGATGGACTGTCATTTCTCTTTGCTTATTTGAGCTGGTCATTATTTATTTTTATGTTTTTTAGCTGTTCTTGCCATAATATGGACTTGGTATTTTACCAAATAGGGCTATCTTCTGTATATCCCCCCTAAAGTTAATTCCACAAATTAACTTTTAACAAGGCACACCTGTTTAATTGAAATGCAATCCAGGTCACTACCTCATGAAGCTGGTTGAGAGAATGCCAAGAGTGTGCAAAGCTGTCATCAAGGCAAAGGGTGGCTATTTGAACAATCTCAAATATATAATATTTTGATTTGTTTAACACTTTTTTTTTTTTGGTTACTACATGATTCCATATGTGTTATTTCATAGTTTTGATGTCTTCACTATTATTCTACAATGTAGAAAATAGTAAATATAAAGAAAAACCCTTGAATGAGTAGGTGTCCAAACTTTTGACTGGTACTGTATATACACTGTTTCTTATACACAGTATAAGAAAGGACAAATGCATTCGCGCGCAAACACAACATGCGATGGTTGCATTCCTTTCTGCTAGGCACACTGAGAAACTTTGGCTGATCTCTGAACAGGTGAACTGTGTCTGTGTGTGTACACAGAAGAGACCCAGCGTAAACCTGTCCCTAACTAAGTGCTCTCTGTGTGAGTCCAAGGGCTTTGCTGTAGTCAAATTAATGACACCAACTGCAGTACTCACTGTGTTTTTCCTTTCCCAATGGTTTACTTTCACTGCTTTCTTTAGAGGAGGCTTAGGAAGGGATACTAGGCTACACTATGCACAGTTGCTGTCTTCACATCATCTTGGTAAAGCTTGGTCCTGTATATGTGTGCATTATAAGTGTACGGGTTATTAGTGTGTGTGTCTCGCGCACACACACTCATCAGTGCAACCCTCGCTGACCACCTCCCGTCGTCGGCTATGAGAGATTCTAACCCGTGGGGTCGTCATGACAACAGGGAGCCAATTACACACCAGAGTGTTTGATCAGAACGGAAGGGTAAACACACGTACACATGCACATGCTCAGCTCCAAACTCATCTCGTCTCTGTGAATAGATAACATACAGCCGCCCTCTGTAATTTCCATGCCTGTCAGCCTCCCTCGCCAGACTGTTCCTATTTTTATTTATTTATTTGTCTGTTAAGTTGCTTTTTAAAATCTTCTCCGCTGTAATCTAAAGTAGGGGCTATTTTGTGAAGGGCTGAGATGGGAGACTCTTTGTATGTGGATTTGTGTGTGTGTGTGTGTGTGTGTGTGCGTACGTGTACTTGTGTAAGACCGGGACGGGTGTGTGTAGGGCAGGGGGGACTTCGGTAGGGGTAAGAGCACGTGGGACTGGTGACATGGGACTCAACTCCCCCTCTTGAGAGACTGACAGGCGTGTGTGTGTTGCTCAGTATGGCCCCTGGGAGCTGTGGGTGGTGGTCCTGTATGTGACTGTGCTGTCACATCCCTTTAAGACTCAGCACCTCGCCTGCCACATCCCTTTAACACGCAGAGACACAGATGTGGCAGCAGATTAATGTTGTATAGGCCCCCCCAGCGCACACACTGCATGGGCACAGACTGCACCAGTTATCACCACACACACACTCACAGTGCACATAAGAGCTTAAAACCCTCCCCGCCACTGCAAGGGGTCTGTGTCTCTGCCTTTTCACCCAGCCCATTCCCCTACACTGTACTCTAAGGTTGACTAGGTCGGTGTCTGCAGACAGATGTTGGTGATGGTTGTAAATATACAATGAAGAATATTGAAGGTCAATGTGAAGAGGGGTTCCATGTGAACATCAGTTGAGCAGGGGCCCATGGTTGAGCATTCAGTCCTAAGATTTGAGCTGTTTAGTCTTGGGTTAGTTTAGAGCTCATCTATTAGCCCCTGTAATCTGTGCTTGTGTGTGAGTGTGTGCAAGCGTCTCTTGATGCTCTGGCGTCTGCTCCTGACACCTTCATGAATGAAACATTCCTTCGCTCAGCGGAGCAGAATTTTTCTTTAATTGCGTCGACATGCCTGCGCATCCCCCACGCTATAACTCTATCAAACTTTGTCTCTAAACACATACGTGGGCTCCCGAGTGGTGCAGTGGTCTAAGGCACTGCATCTCAGTGCTTGAGGCATCACTACAGACCCCCTGGTTTGATTCCAGGCTGTATCACAACCGGCCGTGATTGGGAGTCCCATAGGGCGGCGCGCAATTGGCCCAGCGTCGTCCGGGTTTGGCCGGTAAGGCCGTCATTGTACATAAGAATTTGTTCTTAACTGACTTGCCTAGTTAAATAAAAAAAAAAAGACATACACTCTCTGCTCACTCACACACTTAAATACATACAAACTTACACACACACACCCAAGATGACGGGGGTACTGGAGCACTGGGCAGCTTGCGTGTCCCACTGGTATGGGGCCTGTCACTGCAGCTCACGTGCGTGTGGTGGCGGCTGTCTTCGCTCTGCTCGTCTCCTCTCCTCCGATGTAATGATCTGTCCAGAAATGTGTGTTCCTGCCACTGGTCGACAGACAGACAGCTCTCACCCACACATACATGCGTACGCTGATCTGATCACACACTATCCGGCCCCTCAAGCTGACAGATGTCTCGTTAGCACTCTGTCTGTCAGGAAGATGTGGGAGTGAGCTGTGCCCCCGCATATCACTGTCTCTCTCTGCTGTGAGCTGATCACACCACTAAAAGAGAGTTCTGAGCTACCGTCTTCTGATCTTATGTGTTGAGCCCTATATAGAAGTAACGATAACTAAAGACATATTGGCTTCGCTCTCTCTCTCCTTGCTCTCCACGCCCTCTCTTCCTCCTCTCTCTCGCTCTTCCTCACTCTCTCCCCCCTCTCTCTCTTCCCCCCTCTTTCTCTCTTTCTCAACCACACTTCCTCATCCCCCTCTCTTTCTCTCTCTCCTCGCTCTGTTCCCCCTCTTTTTCTCAGGTGGAGATCAAAATGAAGAAGACTGAGGGGATCAGGTGGGAGAAACTGGAGGGTGAAGGTCAGGAGCCCAACGTCAAACACTTCACCCCCAGTGAGTACTTCTCTATCTCTCACACACACACACACACACACACACAGTTTCCTCTGCTCTCTCTCCTTTACACATATACCAGTCAGTACTGATACATTTCATACCACTAAATACATTTAACAATATTTTTTACAGCATTGGTTTTTACTACTGAAAGCCCTCTCTCCTGTGTTGACCAGTACCCATGGTAACCCTCTCTCCCTCTAAACGTGTGTTCCTGTTCAGACCAGTACCCATCATCGTCCCACTCCAGCCGTAACTGGGACAAGGTGGTGGGCGACATTAGTGAGGAGGAGAAGAAGGAGAAGCTGGAGGGAGACGCAGCGCTCAACAACCTCTTCCAACAGATCTACTGTGACGGCACCGACGAGGTCAAACGGGCCATGAACAAGTCCTTTGTGAGTGTATATATTCACACACAGAGAGAAACTGAGAAAAACATTGTTTTTTTGGCCAGTATCACTGACTTACTCTCCTCCCCCTGTAGATGGAGTCAGGTGGTACAGTCCTGAGCACCAACTGGACGGACGTGGGGAAGAGAACGGTGGAGATGAGCCCCCCAGACGACGTGGAGTTTAAGAAATACTGAAGAACCAGAGGGGTGTCTCTCTCTCTGTACTACACTGTCCTACACTCCCCCTCTCTGCCTCAATTGGACCGCCCCATATCTCCTCTCCTCCAACTTCCCCTCCTGTCAATATTTTGCTTTCTCCCGGCCAAGTCTCTCGTTCTCTTTGCCTCCGATGGACATGTCCAACCTATTAGCCAAAACCAACCTCTTCCTCCTCTAACGCCTCCCCCTTCCAGTCCGTCTGTCAATATCGTTTTTTAGAGCTTTGGTGATTCTCAGCAGCAGTCCAGGAACCACTATTTACCATCTCTCATTAAACCATTCTCACACTCTATGAACAGTGTCATAGATATGTATCTGTCTTTCCTAGATATCATAGAAACAGTAGGAATCATCTGAATGGTCAGTTTCTGTCTATTTGATGGTTAACCTGGTTAAAGGGAGTGATGGGTTGAAACAGATCCCTGGACTGAAGGGGTCGAGAAACCCTTTCCACCTCTTCCTGTGTCAGTAATGGCCGGTTCTTGTTTTCAAAGCCTGTCTTTTATGGGACCTCCCTTTTATGAAAAATTCACAACTATTTTTTTTCCTGTACACTGGTATTAGAAAAAAATCATTTTCCACATCAGCAGCAATACAGTCATGAAATGGAAGTCTGGAATCTTAATTTCGTTTTCCTCAATGTGATTCAAACTTCAATGTAAATAAATGATTTATTTTCTGGATCACCATTTTTTGGGTTTTACTGTGTTTTTAGTGTAAAGAGACCTGAAGAAAGCTAGCATCTCCAATCCCCAACACGCTTACTGTACTGTTTTGATCTACTGTATTAGAGAAGGAGTAGACCTCATCCTCACACACACGCTCCGCTGCTCTCTGCTATGAGTGGGCGTTGCGTAAAGAAGCACGGGAGCATTAATATGGATCTGCCTGCCTGTTATCCGCATCATCAGCCCTCACACCTAGTTAAGTTTTAAATTCATGCTCACTCACACACCCCTTCCTCACGGAGTTAAGCGTTAAATTCATGGCACATCGTTTCATCTCTCGTGACAATCAAACACTCAGTTTGTGGCTTCGGTTAGAACTCTAACTGCATCACACACACATGCCGGCCCCTCCCATACCCCTGCCTGAAGCTGCTCTCCTGACATCAAAAGGAGCTAAGCACTTTGCATCGTAGGTAAGATCTCAGAGCATGAAGGCCGCAGTCTTTAGTCTCATTAAAGCCTTCCAGACCTCTCAAACTCTGCTACGCTCAAAGTTTTTTACCTTATGGATCAACTACTGTATTTGACATATAAATCACAGTGTGTTTGCATGTACGTACGTCTGTTTGTAAGTCTGCCTGCATACATACTGTACTGTATGTATAGTAGCATTGATCTCTGCAGTTGACCCATATACAGTACAGACTAATTTGCAATGTACAGTATGAATTATCTTATCTATTGAGGACAGTACATTACTGAACTAATGTGTTAATATGGTGTAGTGACGCAATAAGGATGGCAAAAATGATGTATTATATGTTTACTTAAAATGTTTATTCATTGAAATTGCACTTTGAAATAGTGTATTTCCTATTAGCATTAAATAACTGTGTTTTAAGGAGAATACCAGACAAAGCGTACAGTAGATGTTAGTAGGTCCTACTTCTGGAGAACCAGTTGGGAAAGACTAACAACGGTCTGGAGGACAGAAACATTTCTCACTAGCATGATGAATACCTACAGACACACACAGCTGACAGTCTAGTCTAACTCATATACTTCTTTAGCTTCTGCCTACAGAATACTTGTTATTTCTTACATTTATTTACATCAAAAGGCAAAAGAAAAACTGAAATAAGTTTACACAAATCACTATCTGCCATATCAGTCACTGTCACTAATAAGATCATAACTATTGATATAGAATCTTTAATGTTACTTTGGTATGTTTGGTTGCAGGTGACAAGATCAGACAAGTTGATGTCATTACAGGGTATGTAGTATGCAAGAGTACTCTTAAGAGTATGGTATGAATAATGATATACAACTTGTGTCATATGGTATTGTAGCTTACATATGTGTTACAGCATACATATATCTCTGTTATGGTTGAAAACTGAATATCCTTGATTGATGGTTTGATTGTTCACACTCTCTCCCCCTTATCTTTGTCTCTCTTTCTCCCTTGCCCAAATCCAAAATGAACTGCACTATACCTAGCCAAGCTACTTACTCAATTTGGTGTTGACGTATCTCTCCTTCTCCCCCTTTTTCTTCCCCCCTCCCCTCCCCTCCCTACCCCCTTCTCACCCCCTTCTCTCTTTTTCTTCCCTCTCTCTCTCTCCACCCCCTGTTTTTCTCTGGACTACCACTCCAGGTCTGGACAGGGTGTGTTTAGAGGATGCCCAGGATGCGTCCCACCCACCAGCGGCAGGGCATGATGACTCTGCAGGCCACCCTGCACCCGCGGTAGTGGTAGGGCCAGGGGTGGAACCCGCCCAAGGGCTCACAGATCCTCTGGCACTGGGTGTGGCTCCTCCGGCACTCCGTACAGCACACGCCCTGGTGGTCCAGCATGGGGTCAAAGGTCATGGTGCCCTCATCGCCCTCCAGACCACGCTACATGTTGAGTGAGAATGGGGAGAGGTCAGGTTAAATACTGGTAATAGCATCATTTGTAAAACAAGCTTAAAGTAGAAATGCCTATGTAGAAATGCATCTCTGAAGAACTAAGACATATATTTCTTATTCAATGATTTATCTCAAACGCAAACACTGAGTCTGGTTCTATGTCTGGGGATGTCTGGAGGAGGAGCAGTTGGGATTAGGGAGAGTCTAAAGGCCTATACATGGAGGGGGAACAGGGCGTGGGGAGATTCATAGTGGAGCTATTCACACTCTGTCTGAGAGGCTCAATGGAACTTTAGTTTGGTATTCTAAAGGAGTCTCTGAGGCGCAGACTCAGGGTGACAGCGATCTCACACACACACACACACACACACACATGCTCTGAGTGACAGGCGCACACACACACACCCACACACAGTTGGTGTGACAAGCATGGCCGCTCAGGGTGATACCGTGACCCCAACATCTGCTCCTGCTCACACAGCTGTGCTTGCTGGGAGAGAGACTGGACAGGAACCATTTGACCTGTTGTCAGACGCTCAACTGTTGACATGGGCGTGAGAGCATAACATTATACTGTATCTCTAAGAGGATATGTAGTCTGGTTGTTAGAATAGGCCTGTGGTGACACAACAAACACTGTCTATGAAGGCCAAACATTAGAGCTGTGTTGCTGGAATTTGAAGTTACACAGCACGTTGATTGAGTGGGCGACGGCACTCACATGATAGGGGTTCTCAGGGTTAAATTCTGCTTCCGGGTCTACTTCCTCCTCTGTCCCGGGTGCCTGGCGGCGCTGCCGAGGGGCCGCCTTCCTCTGCCCGCCTGGGGAGAGTACAGAGACAGTCAATATGCTAACTAGGCATTATTGGAGCCACCCTTGGAAGCACCACACCTACACTGTGTGTACAAAACATTAAGAACACCTGCTCTTTCCATGACATAGACTGACCAGGTGAATCCAGGTGAAAGCAATGATCCCTTATTGATGTCACTTGTTAAAGCCACTTCAATCAGTGTAGATGAAGGGGAGGAGACAGGTTAAAGAAGGATTTTTGAGACAGGGATTGTGTATGTGTGCCATTCAGAGGGTGAATGGGCAAGACAAAATATTGAAGTGCCTTTGAACAGAGTATGGTTGTAGGTGCCAGGCGCACCGGTTTGTGTCAAGAACTGCAATGCTGCTGGTGTTTTTCACACTCAACAGTTTCCCGTGTGTATCAAGAATGGTCCACCACCCAAAGGACATCCAGCCAACTTGACACAACTGTGGGAATCATTGGAGTCAACATGGGCCAGCATCCCTGTGGAATGCTTTCGACACCTTGTAGAGTCCATGCCCCGACGAATTGAGGCTGTTCTGAGGGCAAAGGGGGGTGCAACTCAATATTAGGAAGGTGTTCTTAATGTTTTATACACTAGTTGTAAAAAGAAAATACTAATACTAATGTTACTGTTTTGCTTATCTCCAGTGCATCATGTTGCTATGTGCATTGTTTGGAAATGACCAGTCACTTTCACAACTTATTGTTGTCCTTCAAATACACACTTTACTACTCCCATATAAGGAGTTGCGTGTGAAAATATAAAGGTGCTGATTGGGTACCGTTGGGGTAGGTAGGGCGGAGCCAGAAGATTGGCAGGTCTCCACACAAATCGCGGATCTTGGAGCTGAGGAAGGTGGGGTCAGAGAGGGGCATGTCAGCCGCCACCCAGATCAGAGAGTCCTCCTCAAATTTAGCAGGCATCACCTCATCCTCCTGGAGAGAGAGATAGGGAGGGGGGTGGGTTGATAATTACAGGATGAAGATTAAAATGTGTATCCTATAAGGCCTATATTCAATCCATAGCGCTGAAGATCTGCGCTGTAGCGCGATTGAACCGACATATGCAGTTTACTGTGGCGTGAATGCAGTCTAAACGCAGGAACATTGCGTTTAGATTTCAACCGCGCAGATCTTCAGCACTACGGGTTGAATCTAGCCGAATTAAAACAACACATTTCACTGCACCGGTGTATGCGACAATATAAACAAAAAAGTAGCTCTCGACTATACAAAGTTGGCAGACAGACAGACAAGCTCTTAAGGAATGCCCCTGGGCTTACACTGTGTCTGACAGACATTGTAATTATTTTCCTGTATAAAGGCAATATTCTTCAGACTCTTTTGACCCCTTGTCTGTTTTGATGTGGTTTCCTGTCTCGTTCATCCTTATGTTTTAATCCTTTGCATGTTTTCTTAATGAAACCAAACAAAGAACATAGCACATTGTGATATCCCTCAAGCCTTCTGTAAATATACAGTTCCTGACCTAGTGTTCGTTAGATGTTAAACAGATAGACTGGATCTGGGTTAGAGACATACTTTATTAATCCCCAAGGGTAAATTCAGTAGAAGACACAGTAGCTCTCCTTTCAATGAGAAGCCCTCATTCTCTCCAGCGTTTAGGCGCTTAAACAACGTCAGGAATCATTCACATCAAGTCAACAAGCTGACGGAAAAGCATGATTGCCTACATTTTATAAAGTCTCTCTTCCGATGTGTGGATCAAACAGACACGCATGCACACACACTGCTAGCACTAATAATGGCATTGTATTACTAGAGTAATATACCTGTGTTACTAGTTACTAAACAGTTTGGGGAATGTTACTGTCTAACCTACCAGACACACTTTTATTTTTCATTTTAAATTATTAGCAACAGCAAGCGTTCTCCAGTGCAGGACTGATAAGAGTTTATCTGACCCATTCTCTCTGTGTGTGTGTGTGTGTGTGTGTGTGTGTGTTGCCACTGCGAGACTGATAAGAGTTTACCTTACCCATATTTTCCATCACTAAATTACAGCAGATGACCCAGCGAGATCACACTAGATAGACTTCAGTATTCAATGTTTGTCCATGTCCCGTGTAGCTCAGTTGGTAGAGCATGGCGCTTGCAACGCCAGGGTTGTGGGTTCGATTCCCACGGGGGACCAGTATGAAAATGTATGCACTCACTAACTGTAAGTCGCTCTGGATAAAAGCATCTGCTAAATATCTGTAAAAAATATCCCGAGGACGTTGGGTGATGCCTTCAATACCGTCCACTAGGGGCAACGTGAGCACATATTACCATCTAGCGGCTTGCTAGGGTGTTGTGGATGGCGATAGAGGAAGGGCTTAAACTGCACACTTTGGCTCTGAGGATCGCGGGTTCAATACTAGTGCTAGGCAATCATTTTAGTTGTTTCTGTTTTCACCCTATTACAAACCTTAACCCTTACCTTAACCAGTTGGAATTATTGTCAAGTTTTTTATGCTTAACTGTCAAGTTTTTTCTATTTTACCAACCTTAACCTTTATTTACACTATAAATACAAAAGTATGTGGACACCCCTTCAAATTTGTGGATTTAGCTATTTCAGCCACACCCGTTACTAACAGGTGTATAATATCGATCACACAACCATGCAATCTCCATAGACAAACATTGGCAGTAGAATGGCCTTACTGAAGAGCTCAGTGACTTTCAACGTGGCACCGTCATAGGATGCCACCATTCCAACAAGTCAGTTCACCAAATTTCTGCCCTGCTAGAGCTGCCCCGGTCAACTGTAAGTGTTGTTATTGTGAAGTGGAAACGTCTAGGAACAACAACTGCTCAACCGCAAAGTGGTAGGCCACACGAGCTCACAGAAAGGGACCGCAGAGTGCTGAAGCGCGTAGCACGTAAAAATTGTCTGACCTTGGTTGCAAAACTCACTACCTGAGTTCCAAACTGCCTCTGGAAGCAACGTCAGCACAAGAACTGTTCATCGGGAGCTTCATGAAATGGGTTTCCATGGCCGAGCAGCCGCACACAAGCCTAAGATCACCATGCGCAATGCCAAGCGTCGGCTGTAGAGGTGTAAAGCTCGCCGTCATTGGACTCTGGAGCAGTGGAAACGCGTTCTCTGAAGTGATCACGCTTCATCTGGGTTTGGCGGATGCCAGGAGAACGCCCGACTGCATAGTGCCAACTGTAAAGTTAGGTGGAGGAGGAATAATGGTCTGGGGCTGTTTTTCATGGTTCGGGCCAGGCCCCTTAGTTCCTGTGAAGGGAAACCTTAATGCTACAGCATGCAATGACATTCTAGACGATTCTGAACTTCCAACTTTGTGGCAACAGTTTGGGGAAGGCCCTTTCCTGTTTCAGCATGACAATGCCCCCGTGCACAAAACGAGGTCCATACAGAAATGGTTTGTCGAGATCGGTGTGGAAGAACTTGACTGGCCTGCACAGAGCTCTGACCTCAACCCCATCTAACACTTTTTTGGAGGAATGGGAATGCCGACTGTGAACCAGGCCTAATCACCCAACATCAGTGCTCGACCCCACTAATTATCTTGTGGCTGAATGGAAGCAAGTCCCCGCAGCAATGTTCCAACATCTAGTGGAAAGCCTTCCCAGAAGATTGGAGGCTGTTATAGCAGCAAAGGGGGGACCAACTCCACATTAATGACCATGATTTTGGAATGAGATGTTCGACAAGCAGGTGTCCACATACTTTTGGTCATGTAGTGTACTTTCACTTCACCCATAGACGTTTATGGCCCCCCTGGACAAAAGTTGAATACTGAAGTGAGACTGTGAGATCTTGTTGGATGACCAGCTTTCAGCTACTATTATAACCACATCTCACTATCTGAGCCCAACATACACATAAACACACACTGTCTAGCACACACAGTGGAATAAATAAACGGCCGTTGACGATGCAGAGAGGCGTGTGTGTGTGCATGCGCGTGATGGCCTGCGATGGCATACGATGGCCTGCGTGATGTTTAATGATGTGTGCATGGAGCATACACAACGCTAATTGATTAAAATAATCAGACAGCCTCATTTCGGCACTGGGACAGCTTACACACACTCACAAACACATGCACAGAAACACACACATCTTGCAGCACTGTGACAGCTTGACAGGCTTGTTCAGATGTTGTTAAGATCTGTGTGTCGATCCAACCCGCCTCATTCCAGTTTGGCCAGACAGCGAGTGTGAAAACATGATTCACGAGTGAAAGCAATCCCTCTCTCTGAGCAACACGTGCCAGTGTATATGTGTGTGTGTGTGTGTGTGTGTGTGTGTGTGTGTGTGTTCACACCAAGAGAAGAGGGTGTCCCCTCGGCTCACAGTCCACCGGGGGGGGGGGGAGACTAGTGGCACCCCATCCTGACACTAGTTGTTCCCCTTCAGTTGCTACATTAAGAAACAAAATGCCAGTATAGAGGTAAATGAATAGATAGTTCACATGAAATACTTCTAAACTGACTTCACTTTGAGAGAAATGGACAACATGACAGTCAGGGTTATCACACATTACTTGGGGGCTGGAGGAGTTATGTGTCAGGTGAGCCCAGATCACAGGTCTTGTTTGGGGATAGTTTGTGGCAGAAGAGATCCTCCAGATCAGAGCGAGAGAGAGCTCATGTTTGGGTCTGGATGCCAATCTGCTACAATCTCTTCCTTTACCTTACCCTCGGGCTAAATGGAGCATCCAGGTCAACTAATCACAGACACACACAAACACACAGCCAACCCAGCCAATAAACCACTCAGTTCATCTTACATCTCTCCTGAAATCGCTTAAATTAGCTCAGTCCCTATATCTACCCCAACCCCCCACAACACACAACCAATGTTAACCGTGTCTGACAGTAGATAGGTGTGTGTCATGGTCATAGGTAACCCAGAAATACTTTGAGATATATATATATATATATATATATATATATATATATATATATATATTCCTACCAGGTCGAACAGAAGTGAGTCTTTGTTGAGTGTTTCCACGTCAGGCAGAAGAGCTTTGACCTGAGTCTTAATATAACACTTCTCTCCTCCAGCAAAACGGATACCAGTTATACCCTGGAGTGAAGAGAGAATTTTAATGAATAATGTGCATCTAACATGTTACAAAATTACTTTTGTCTTCAAGGTACCATTGGAATTTTAATTATTTTTGTTGTTGTTGTTTCAAACGTACAATCTGGAAGTCGTGGACCTCTACTGCCTCGTCATTTCCGCTCCCGGTGCGGAACCTCTCCATGTTGTTTGTAGCATCAATCTCCATAGAGCCCTCCTCCACCTTACCGTTAATACTCATGCTGTAGTGGACGTTGTAGACCTGCCACACACACACACACACACGGTAAAACACGCAGACAATGTTGTCACACCTGTAAGAAGGAGTGTGGTGTGTGCGTGCGTGTGTGTGCGTGCGTGTGAGCGAGAGAGGGTGGGGGGGTAGATTCTCTATATAGGCTCAGGGGCAGGAGTGTTTTTTTTTCTTCATAATGGGTGGGCTTTGTTTACACCCCCCTCCCCCATCTCCATCATAGAATCAGCGAAAAAAATAATATATATATATTATCCTATTCTCGCTCAGGCAATGCATTTAAACTCATGCAGGCCTATAGCTACCAAATTTTTAAAAATCATATACATTCTTTTTGTATTATTCGACAGTAGCCTAGGCTTACCTCGATTACACCTCTCGTTCCTGGGACATCAGCAGGACCCTATGAGCCCACCCCTCAGTCTCAGAAACACAAGGCTTCCATTCACTATACTCTCCTGACTTCTACCAAGCACTCCAGCGCCTAACGGCATAGCTTAACATAAGTGATATGATTTATCAGCTTTTAACATAGTTTATTAGGCCTACCCTTGAGCGACAAGAGTCGCTGGTTGAAGGCCCAATGACTCTTGAATTCGCTATAGTCCATTGATACAGAAGGACTGATGTTTAAACGTATGTTAAAACTCTTACATGTTTGTCGTTATTATTCCAGAAGTAAAAAGCTCCGATTGCCCCGAACAGCAGCAGAATTGCCCCGGCGATCAAGACCACAATCCCGGTCTTCAGCAGGCGGCCGGTGGCCGCCGGTTTAACCGCCACGGCAGTGTATGCCTGAGATGAACACATCAATCATTTACATGAATGCCACCTATACGGGTTCAATTTTGTTTGTTTGTTTGTTTGTAAAAAGTGTTTATAAAGCATTTATAATGCGTTGCCTTCATAAAGTCCAACTCAACATCAACACCTCCATAAGAATTAGCAGGTGTCTTCGTGGAATGTCCACACAAAGTTCCTGACCCTAGACTAGGCTATCTGGCACACGTATATAATTTAGAAACTAAAGCATCGATATATGTTAGGCTACTTACCGGTGGCATAAACTGTTGCAGGTCCTCGGGTCCCGCTAAGGCGATGGGCACTTTTTCTGAACTCCCGGCCATGGCTGCGAATGGGTCTGAGAGCCTGAGCAAAGGTGTCCACTAATCTTCTCTCTCTCTAAATCTTCTCTCTCTCTAAATCTTCTCTCTCTCTCTCTCTCTCTCTCTCTCTCTCTCTCCTCTCTCTCTCTCTCTCTCTCTCTCTCTCTCTCTCTCTCTCTCTCTCTCTCTCTCTCTCTCTCTCTCTCTCTCTCTTCTCTCTCTCTCTCTCTCTCTCGGACAGGGCAGGACTAACCAAACTGCCTATTCATGCGCGATGATTGTTATATTACCTGCTGGCTTGGCGCCCTGCCTCAGGAGTTCATCAAGGAATGCAGAGTAGGACGATGTTATGGCTTTGGAAGACTGAGAGAGAACAGGCTGTTCGGATCTTGAACCAACAACAGGGCAAGTGCGCTACCTTCTGTGCGAAACACGTCCAGACAGCGTAGGCCTACACAACCTAAGAAAGCCTTTGTCGAAATGTGTGTGTTTACATTTGACAGGCATATATGATGCGCAATGGGAAAGTCTTGTTTATATTAATGTATTTCTCCAACATTTCTTTGGGAGTCCTATTCGAACGGGAACGCGCATTGTTCAGTAGGTGGAACACAAATGTGAACGCGCACAGCTGATGCAGAGGCAGAAGGGAAGCCTTTCCTTAATTTCCCCTTGAACATACAATGTTCTCAGTCAGAGGGGATTGAGCTGCTCTTACTATAGTCTCTCTCTCTCTCTCTCTCAGTTCTAACGGGCCTAAGGTCAGAGGTGGATCCTGTGGAATGTGGCATCCTATCTCGAGCTGACGATACAGTATGGGCCACTCAGTGAAGACCCATGGGAACAAATCCCCATCCAAAATGCTTATTTTACATTTACGTCATTTAGCAGACGCTCTTATCCAGAGCGACTTACAGGAGCAATTAGGGTTAAGTGCCTTGCTCAAGGGCACATCGACAGATTTTTCACCTAGTCAGCTCGGGGATTAGAACCAGCGACCTTTCGGTTACTTATCTCAATGGAGACGCGGGGTATCGAGTACCCAGCTGTATGTGTGCTGATTGAGTCATTATTACATGTTTTATTACCAAACACATTAATTACATCGTGTGGTTAAAGCCGATAGTCAATCGCTGCGTAAACAGTTCTCTATCCAAATGTACCAGGCGTGCTTTTACGCATAGGCGCGCATTTGGCACCATGCGTTTTAATTGAGTGGTGTGCGCAACTGATTATGATTCTATCCCTTGAGGAGGTCGGTCTACAGACTGTATTAGACCCTTTAGGCAGACAGAAATCCCTGCAGATTAGAATATACACGGATGAGTATGTTAATCTTATTGATGAGTTTGATTGGCTCCGACTGCTGCCTCTAGCGAGCATGGCTAGAGGGAAGATCATTTTGTTGCCAATAGTCAAACTAAATCATCAATCAAATGTAGACGAGACAAGGAGGTTCATTTTTTATGTTCAGTTGTAGATGCGATGTCATCCTTCACTCCTAAACGGCTATTATTTCATTGTCAAAGGGGCAAAGTGCCTTGATTAAGGATTATGCCACTGTTTAATAACATAGAAGCACTTTCTATTGCTCCCTTATTCCTCCAGGACTAAGAGTAGCATGTCTTAAATAGGTGAATGTAGGAGTGAGTGAACAGAAATAAGTCAGGGACAAGATTAAGATTTCAAAACGGTATTTCAACATTTATTTTCTTTAGAATATGGTGATAAAAAATCTAAACAATTATTATTCATACATAGTTATCAACTTGATACATTGGGTCTCCGGCCTCAAACCGTGGTTTCTGGGCCATTTAAATAGTAGGCATGCCTTAGAATCAGTATAATTACAATTCATATGCACACATCTTCGGTGTTTAATTATGCTTTTTATAAAAAATAAACTCTCTTTATGTACAAATCCTTGCATAAATTACACAGTATATGTCCAACAAAGTCTTAAAAGTGATTGGATATAGACTCCAAATGTGACTTTTACATTGAAACACTTAAAAATGCAAAATACACAAATATTCTTTAAGATATATAAACTCATTTACATGACAAATAATCTCATACATTTGTAAGCAACATGTCATTCTCATTGTCATGGTTTTATAAATTAAATTAAACACCTTTTTTGAACACTGTTAATTAAGTTCTTCTTTAGACTTCATTGCTGGGACACCGTGTCGTGGTCGGACCGTAGACTGGGATAGTGATTTCACTAATCTCCTGAACTGTCATGGGTCTGGGAGGAGTGACCAGGACATAGTCATATTCTCTATGCAGAACCTTCTCATACACACTCTGCAGGCCGGTTGTTTTGGGGATGTGCGCCTGGTAATAGTTGTCCCTCCGGAGCGAGTCTCGGGGCAGCGAGGCAGTCTTGGAGAGACTGTTGAAGGAGGAGAGGGTCTGGCCGGTGGGGGTGGGGACGGGCGAGCGACTGTTGTTGGCGTGGACAGTGGAAGGGCTCCAGCAGCGGTCAGAGTGAGCCCAGAATCTTACACTCACTGGTACATGCCCATAGACCTGAGAGGAGAGAGAGAGAGAGAGAGAGGAGAGGAGAGAGAGAGAGAGAGAGAGAGAGAGAGAGAGAGAAGAAGAGAAGGAGAGAGAGAGAGATCGATAGAGAGAGAGATAGATCCCGAGCGAGATCCTTAAGATAGAGCGATAATAGATATAGAGGTACCTAGAGAGCTGAGATAGAGAGTTTTGGTGGTGTGTTAGGCCTTCTTGTGCGACCAAACACAAAAGCAAAACCCCATACACATCGATTTCTTTCAAATGACTGTAATGGTTATGATAAAGAAATAGAAGTATCTCTTACCACTCTGGCCGCCCATGGGGGGTACCGGTACCCCCTCCTTCTTCAGGTCGGTGCCACTGATGTCACTATCGCTGTCGTTAAAGTCACTGTCACCTTTCCCACTGTCCTTCCCGCTGAACGCAGGGTCTCTTGCGGAGATGGTGGTGTAGGAGTTGCCCTTCCAGATGGTGATTGGTCTGACCGCCTCTTTACCGTTATTGTAGCCGTTACAGTAGCCAGGCAGAGTGGAGTAGCCCTGCGGAGCGGAAAGAGAAACAGCGCAGAGTTCAGCACCATGAACAGCGACACATTACAATAGCACTGTATGAGGCTGAGGGCACATACAGAGAAAGAGAGTGAGGGAGAGGGGGATTAAAAACAGCATCTCACCTTGGGTTTGCTGTCCGGTTCATAGACGCACGGAGCCTCGCTCCCATCTTCTGAGGCGGAGCACAGGTCACTGCTACCAGTGTGTTCCCCGGTAAAACCGGGCTGGCTAGAGAAGGTGTGGGCTTCAAACCCTCCCACGGTTCCATGGAGCGGCAGCAGCGGGTTGTCGCTGTTGTTTTTGCCTCTTTCCAGAGTCTCCTTCTCCCCATACGAGTCGGTGTCATCTCCAGTCTTGTCCCGTTTCCGCCGGTTGCAGGTGGTGGCGATGAGGATAATGGCTAACAGCAGGAGAGTGCAGCTCCCCGCCAGGACGACAATAATCACCACCGACAGGTCCCACTGTGCGTGCTCCCCCGCCTCCCCGCTGCCTGCCCGATACACGGTCCTGTCGCTCGGAGGGGCGCCCGCAATGATGAGGAAGTGAAGCGTGGCGGTGGCGGTGAGCGCAGGTCTCCCGTTGTCACTCACCGTGACGGTCACGCGCAGGGTCTCGTCCACGTCGTGGCTGAGCATGCGGTTGAGGTAGACCTCTCCGGTGGCTTTGTTAACAGAGAACACGGATGCCTCTCCAGAGGCCAGTCTGTAGGACAGTTCTGCATTCAAGCCCTCATCAGCATCTTGCGCCTCCACCTGGGTGATGACGTAGCCTGAGGGCGCGTCCCGGGGCAGCAGAACCTCCGCGGACCCATTATTGAGCGCGGGCTGGTTGATGACAGGTGAATTGTCGTTCTGGTCCACTATCCTAACGTTAACGGTCGCGGTTCCGGTGAGGGGCGGGGACACACCGTCGCTGGCTGTGATGTGGAGCTCGAGCTGTTTCATGACTTCATAGTTGAAGCTCCTGAGTGCGTAAAGGGAGCCACTCGCGGGGTCCAGTGAGACAAACGTGGACACCGGAGAGCCCATGACGTAGGTGTCAGCGAGCTTGTAGCTCACCTTACCGTTGTGGCCCAAGTCCATGTCCCTGGCGACCACCGTGGTGATGTAAGCACCCGGTGCGTTATTCTCCACCACAGCCACTTCATACACCGGCTTACTGAACACAGGGGCATTGTCATTCTCGTCCGTTAACCGGATGGTGTACTGGGTGATGGTTCTGAATGGTGGGGAACCCAAATCCTCTGCCACCACTGTTAGATTATACTCAGGGATTTTCTCCCGGTCCAACGGGCTCGTGCTCACGATCATGAAGCTGTCCTCGTACGCCTGCTGCAACCTGAAGTGGTCATGGCCGTAGAGCGTGCAGTGCACCTGTCCGTTAGCACCAGAGTCCCTGTCCGAGGTGCTAACCAATGCAACAAAACTCTCGCGTGCCGCAGACTCCGTGATATAGGCGATTCCCGCCGTGATGGAGGTCATAGGCGTGATGGAGATCTCTGGCGCGTTATCGTTAACGTCCTGCACCTGCACCACTATCTTACAGATAGCCGGGCTTGGGTTTGGACCGAGGTCCGTTGCCTGGACGTCGAATTCGTACGTTTTCTTGCTCTCAAAGTCAATGGGGCTCTCGAGGGTGAGGCTTCCCGTTTTGCGGTCCACTCTGAAAAGTTGTCGAATCTCTGATGGCACCTGGTTACCGAACCCATACACCACCTCCCCATTCAGCCCCTCATCCGGGTCTTCTGCGTTCAGGTCCAGTAAGAGAAACCCTACCGGTGCGTCCTCAGAGAGGTCCACTGAGAAATTGTTCCTGTCGAACACGGGGCTGTTGTCATTGTAGTCTTTCACCTTGACGTTGATGCGAGTCATTCCCGAGCGGGACGGGTTGCCACCGTCCATAGCAAGCAGCTCGAGCGCATAGGAAGCCTGCGTCTCACGGTCCAGCTCCTTCATGAGCACAAGCTCCGCATATTTAACCCCGTCCGCTCTGCTAAGCACGTCTATGGTGAAGTGACTGTTAACGGATATCTGATAGCTCTGGATGTAATTCAAACCCACATCCTCATCCACAGCGAAGTCTAACGGGATCCGCGTGCCCACAGCTGTGTTTTCGGAGATCTCCAGACTCGACTCTTTCCGGGGGAACTCGGGGGAATTGTCGTTTATGTCCTTGACCTCCACCTCGACGTGGATGAGTTTGAACTGCTCTTTGGAGAAGCTGACCACATCAAATGCGATGAGGCAGTGAAGGGTGTGTTTGCAGATTCTCTCTCTATCAATTCTCTCTCCGATAGTCAGCTGTCCGTCGCTCTCCCTCAAACGGATGAAAGACGAGTTGAACTGCTTCATCATCCTGAAATTTGTCTTGGAGCCCGAGGAGGGGCTGGATGAAATGTCCTTGGCCAAGTTTCCGATGACAGTCGCAGGGGCGTCCTCCTCAAATGTCTCATACTTCACTGTCTTTCCCTGCATGAGAGCGGGCAGGACAGCCAGTGAGATGCACACCAGCACCCACCAATTCCACCCTCTCATACCCATCCTGCCAATTGAACAAAACAAAAATCCACTAAACTGGCTGCACTTAGCTCAACTATTTATTAAAACAAAAACAATTTTTCTCTCTCTCTCGTTGGTTACGACAGTGTTCTTTTTAGAATGCTGAGGTAATAAGCCCTTGGTTTTAGTGCTCGCTCCGAGGTGTGCTCTCCCAGCGCGAGAGGGCTGCAGTGGCGGGAGGGTTTATACCGCGACGCATGCAAATGAGCTACACTGTGACCAATCCACGCTTTGAAAACGAAAAGGGGACTTCTAAAAGACCTCTAAGCCTGTTTAGAGATTCCTAGACTGTGCGGAAAAACTTGGCACAGATATGTGGTCTAAAGGCAAGGCTTGATTTAATATGTTTAGTTTCCGTTGCTTATTTATGTGCGTCGGTCTGTTAAATGAGTCTGCGCACAAACACACAAGGGGCACAGAGATGCGCAGTGCCCCTGAGCTAGAGGACAAAGCGCTCCGGTAACAGATAGTATAGCTACAGTCGCCTATAAAGACAAATATAGGTAATTATGGACAATGCACAGGCTATGGGACTTCTATTGTTCTCTACTGTATGCCAGGCAGCCTACAATTTACTGGATCGTTAGGTTATTGATGCATTATCCCCTGGGTCATATCAGTGTCTTCACCAGAATATTGATATGTTCAACCTGGTCTCAGAGTATTTTGTATTATTCTGTACGTAAAAAAAATCCTTCCATTTAGTATGATATGTTAAGTTTCGTATGGTATATGTTAATTTGTGGATGTCCACCATCCATTGCATATGATATGTTACAAATTACAATTCGTATGATATGTAATGAATTTGCCAACCGTAGAACATGTTTCGAATATGCAAATGTGCAATATGTTACGAATTTGCTAAACGTATTATATGTTACGAATTCCAATTTATTGTGGCTAACCTTAGCTAGGTGTCTAACTTTTGCTATCTGGCGAACATTAGCTAGGCTAGGTTTTAGGGTTAAGTTTAGGAGTTAGGTTAAAGGGTTAAGGTTAGGGTTAGGGTTAGGGAAAGGTTTAGCTAACATGCTAAGTAGCTCAAAAGTAGTAAGTAGTTGAAAAGTTGCTAATTAGCTAAAATGTTAAAGTTGTCCGTGAAGAGATTCAAACACGCAACCTTTGGGCTGCTAGACATTTGCGTTATATGCATACCCATCCACCTCGACCAACCACCCTCCTTTCATTTTTGCCTTAAGTAGCCTTCTGTCTCATGTAATACCAACTATACCAAACATAACATGTCATACTAAATTGAGTTTCGCAGATTTACATTGACCATGTTACGTCTAGTCTATGAGACCAGGCTGATATGTTTGGTTGGGAAGCTTTGAACAGACACCTATCCATCCCTTTTTGTAAAGGACCAATTATGAGGGGAAATTGTATTCCGTAGCCCTGTCCCAACCCAAAGAGCCCCTCAACCCTTTTAGAGGGCACATTTGTTTGTCCTTGACAGAGCAGCATCTCTCTCCCCCAATAACCCAACCCCTGAAGAACGGGTAGGCCTACCACTGTGGGCCTATCCTAGCTATCCTGTAAATGAAAATGTGTAATATACATTCAAATTTTGCTAACAAAAGTGAAAATGCTTTGGACCCTGGGACTGAACACCTCCCTCTGAAAATGGATCCTGGACTACCTGACGGGCCGACCCCATGTAGTGAGGGTATGCAACATTACTGCCGCCACGCTGACCCTCAACAAGGGGGCCCCACAGGGGTGTGTGCTTAGTCCCCTCCTGTACTCCCTGTTCACCCACGACTGCATGGCCATGCACAACTCCAACACCATCATCAAGTTTGCTGAAGACACAAAGTTCGTAGGCCTGATCACTGGTGACGATGAGACAGCCTACAGAGAGGATGTCAGTGACCTTGCAGTGTGGTGCCAGGACAACAACCTCTCCCTGATCGAGGACTACAGGAAACGGGGGGCAAGGAAGCCCCCAACCACATTGATGGGGCTGCAGTGGAGCGGCTCTAGAGCTTCAAGTTCCTTAGTGTACAAATCACGAAGGACTTAAAATGATCCACACACACGCAAAAAACAGTTGTGAAGAAGGAGCGACAGCGCCTCTTCCCCCTCAGGTTGTTTAACATTTTGGCATGGGCCCTCAAATCCTCAACAAGTTCTACAGCTGCACCATTGAGAGCACCTTGACTGGCCGCAGCACTGCTTGGTATGGCAACTGCAACGCCCTCGATCGCATGGCGCTACAGAGGGTGGTGTGGACAGCCCAGTACATTACTGGGGCCGAGCTCCCTGCCATCCAGGACCTCTATATCATATCACGCAGTGTGAAAGGAAGGGCTTGAAATGTTTTTAAGACTCCAGCCACCCAAGCCATAGACTGTTCTCGCTGCTTGTGCACAGCAAGCGGTACCGGAGCATCAAGTCTGACACCAACAGGCTCCTGAACAGCTTCTATCACCAAGCCATAAGACTACACAGACTATCTGCATTGACCCTTCTATTTTTTTTTGTTGCACTGTCTCTATGTGTAAAGGACGTCATGGATGATAGCGGATGAACAGGCAGTGGCACGGGTGGTAGTTGTCCTTGATTATCTTTTTGGCCTTCCTGTGACATCGGGTGCTGTAGGTGTCCTGGAGGGCAGGTAGTTTGGCCCTGGTGATGCGTTGTGCAGACCGCACCACCCTCTGGAGAGCCCTGCAGTTGTGGGCGGTGCAGTTGCCGTACCAGGCGGTGATATAGCCCGACAGGATGCTCTCAATTGTGCATCTGTAAAAGTTTGTGAGGGTTTTAGGTGACAGGCCAAACTTCTTCAGCCTCCTGAGGTTGAAGAGACGCTGTTGAGCCTTCTTCACCACACTGTCTGTGTGGGTGGACCATTTCAGTTTGTCAGTGATATGTACGCAGAGGAACTTAAAACGTTCCACCTTCTCCACTGCTGTCCTGTCGATGTGGATATGGGGGTACTCCCTCTGCTGTTTCCTGAAGTCCACAATCATCTCCTTTGTTTTGTTGACGTTGAGTGAGACGTTATTTCCCTGACACCACACTCCGAGAGCCCTCACCTCCTCCATGTAGGCTGTCTAATCGTTGTTGGTAATCAAGCCTATTACTGTTGTGTCGTCTGCAAACTTTATGATTGCGTTGGAGGCGTGCATTGTTACGCAGTCATGGGTGAACAGGGAGTACAGGAGGGGGCTGAGCACACACCCTTGTGGGGCCCCAGTGTTGAGGATTAGCGAAGTGGAGATGTTGTTTCCTACCTTCACCACCTGGGGTCCAGGACCCAATTGCACAGGGCGGGGTTCAGACCCAAGGCCTCAAGCTTAATGATGAGCTTGGAGGGTACTATGGTGTTGAATGCTGAGCTATAGTCAATGAACTGCATTCTTAAATAGGTATTTATCTTGTCCAGATGGGATAGGGCAGTGTGCAGTGTGATGGCGATTGCATCGTCTGTGGACCTATTGGGGCGGTAAGCAAATGAAGTGGGTCTAGCGTGACAGGTAAGGTGGAGGTGATATGATCCTTGACTAGTCTCTCAAAGCACTTCATGATGACATAAGTGAGTGCTACGGGGTGATAGTCATTTAGCTCAGTTACCTTTGCATTATTGGGTACAGGAACAATGGTGGCCATCTTGTAGCAGAGTGGGATAGGGAGAGATTGAATATGTCCGTAAACACACCAGCCAGCTGGTCTGCGCATGCTCTGAGGACGCCCATACCTGGCGCGAACTCGGGACCTATGCTGGCACACGTGACCGCCCTCCTGAAGCATCTTAGCAGTCGGCGCAAGTGGGGATATTTCAGTCTGAGGAGTAAGTTTCACACATCCCCATGTGCTACATTCACCCCTCAAACTTACTCAACAGCAACCCCAGCGCAACTGTAGTTTAAATCTTTACTATCTCATGTTCTTCTTATTTCTATTTATTGTGTGTTTTTGTTCTCCTTTACTTTAAAAAAAAAAAAATATATATATAGTATTACTGATAATGATTACAGCACTGTTGGGAAAGAAAGGCAGCTGCACAACTGAATGCTTCCAACCGAAATGTGTCTTCGCATTCAACCCAACCACTCTGAATCGACATACACTTAATCCGCGCCAGGGGAGTAGTTGTTGGGGGTAAGGGCAGAACGTCCGATTTTTTCTACCTTGCCGGCTCGGAGATTCGAATCACCGGCCTTTTGGTTACTGGCCCAACGCTCTTTACCAATAGGCTTCCTGTCGCCCAAACTAGAGCATGTGACAATAAAAACATGAAACTTGAAACGTCTATCCAAATCTTGTGTAGGCCTATAGTCACGCTTCACAAATGTATGAGATATTGGAATAGAAACCAAAAAAGTGCACCAGTTTCCTATGATGCTTCTCCAATGTGGCTATTTCATTGTCATTCATAATTCCATAACTCTATTCATCAAGACCCGTGTAGATATTTTGATTAATGTCTGTTGTAGCCTAATCCAATAACTGCTATCAGATCAGATTTGACTAAATAGAAATGGCTATATCCACTTTATCTACTTAAACATTGATTTTATTCTAATTCCGACTCAGCTCAGATCGGCTCACGAGATGTCATGTGAGAGGGAGTGGGGATTCGTTAATGAAATCCGGTGTACCGGAGCCGTTTTAACATGCGTGTCATCGCCTCGTGCTCCTCCATAACCTCGTCTACCAGAACAGAGACAACACACTCACCCCCACAGTCACACACAGTCACATACACACACCCGTATCAAATGGGATTTGGCTGTTAGCGCGAGGAGATTTATCCGGATTTCAATGGTGATATTATATCAAAGGCATATGAAGCGCTCGTTAGCAAAGGCAGTATAATGGCATGGCAGGGCCTCCCTTTGGAGGCAGTGCCTGGTGTATTGTGCCTGTGAGCCGGCCTGTAGGGACCCTAACCCCCATTGCTCTCACACAGCCCTTCCTGGGCCCCGTCACGGCTCTTTAAGAGATTTTCTCTTTCTTTCCGAAAGTAACAC